ATCCTGGCTTTCATTAACGCGTGCTCCAAATACAAGCGTCCCAGGAATTCCGGGAACGACGCCATTCTGGAATCAAGAGTCTAGATCATTTCTCTACGTCTCCAACGATGGCACTGGCCGATCTACATTAATTCGTTGCTTCTTTTGAATGCAACGAAGTGAGTTTAATATGAAACAAGATTTGACAAAGCATATTACCAGATATATTAGTACCTTTACTCTTTCGTATGCCTATCTATAATAAAACCAAAGAGCCTACCACTCGGTCACACTTTTGTGCCTTCCTGATTCTGGGATTTATACCCAGGAACCTCGATAAAATAATGCCTTAATGCTATTTAATTTTATTATTCAGGATATTATGCTCTTAAATCTCGATATTAGTAAGTTAGGTCTCTGAACGAAAGTTGAAAATTAAAAACTCATTGGAACAGGCTTAAAAACATTCTTTTCAACTCTATACAAAGACGTGAAATGAAGGTAACACAAAACCCTTTTAAGGTTCAGATATTTTGTAAGATGTCTAGTGTGTATGTGTCCGACCTAGTTTTATTGTTTTTAAAATGAGACTAGATGAATAGACGCTAGTGTGAGAAGGCTTCACGGGGAAATTCAAAGCGCAGTGTTATAGTCGTTTTCATTCAAGTTTGAAGCGCAAAAAGAAAATTTCCTTAGGTAACCGAGCAAAAATAAAAAGATATTTACCGGAGGCTCAGATTTAGATAAAGCTTAAACTTGGAGTTTTTAAGACTTTGTTTATCCGTGGCAATAATTTTAAGACTGGTTCCCCGTTGATTTAGTGAAGTATACTTGACTGCCGTCAGGATGTCCAGGTTTAGTATCCCAGGTCAGGGACTTTAATTGAAATAAATCACTTTAAAAAACGTTTAAAACGCGATATATATTAGTAAAACTTATTTGCACTACGGCTGGACGTTTGGGATGCTTTGCAGCAGCCGTGGTCACGGGGGAGACGAATCGTCTTAAACCGTTAAAGTGTTTTATTTAAATGTGTACCATATACAGGACTTATGTTAGTTTGAATATCCAGTCAAAAGTGATCACCCGTGCCTACTATTAGCAGTAGTATTCGAATATCCAAAGCAAAAATAGATCGACGGCGCATCTTGTGTATATATGTTATACAGCTGGGATATTGCACCTCCCATGAAATTAACCTCACGCTTGTCTGTCCTCCTGTATCATTAAAAGTAATTAATATAAAGTAAAAAAGCCCACCAAACCGAATTGGGACAAATTGGTGGGGCCAAACTCGAAAACCCTCCGTCCTCCAATGAAAGTGACCTGCAGTGCAAAATAGTGAGGAAGTGGACGTGGAAAGGAGGGGAGTGAACATTGTTATATTAAAAATCTGAGTTTGAATTCCCAAAAAATATGGTATACAAAATATAAAGTTGATTAATTGAAAAGGCAAAAGAAAATTCATGTTACATTTTCGCAACGTTAAGAGTAACGTCAGTGAAATTATAATCTTAATTAATTGCCCGCTAAAGAGTATTAAATTATCAAGCGCCAAGTCAATTATTATCGTGCTCCCTCTAAATTCGTCATCATAATTTACGCCTAGATAATGTTATATTATATAGTCTGTCATTAACTTGATTGTTATGGTAATTACAGATTGGCTTGAGTGTACGACGTTGTGTGGTTTATCTACTCTTTTATAAATAAGAGTAGGGTAAGTACTCTTTACTGTAAATTTAAGTCAAATTTTATGTTTTACAAGTTTCTTTTTTTTGTATATGTTTTTCTTCTATAAATATAATCATAATCACACCAAGCAATACGCGCGCCTCTGGTGACGTTTTAAACGCGATATATAATAGTAGTTAACTTCTTTTTAATATATTTTAATGACAGTCTGACGTATCACTATAGCCTATAGTCACGAGGGACCATGGCAACAAAAAATTAGAATTGTCTTATTTATATATATATATATATATATATATGTATGTATTATTCGCGTAAACGACAGACTATGCGAGATTTTGCCAAAATCCAAATGTTATCTCGAAATGTAATGTTACATTCTTTGATTACAAAAATGAATGTTATTAGTCTTTTTAATTACCAGGAAAAATCGCTTTTAAAAGGAATTTCGTGTCTCAACCTCGACATATCCGGCGTTACCACCGTTACGCTGAAATCGACTTGTCTCGAGGGCACACGTTATCTTGGCAAAGTTTTCCTCAAATAACCTACTAAGTGAAGGAAAATGGAGTGTTAAATATTTAACAAAAAAAGACAATAAGATTAATATATCTATGTAATAGTGGTCTTACGCATTGCGCAAGAGTGCCGAAACAGTTCCATACAATAGAGTTCAACGCGAGGTGAAAAAAACGTACAGTTAATCTATCATTATAATATATCTTTATGTGTAAAAATTAAATCCCTTTACCCCCGTGGGTCACCATGTGAACATTTTTCCACGTCCGTTTCACTGATGAGTTTTATTTACAGGCAAGTAGTTGATCAGACTTCTGTGCCCTGCCCGACCGAAAAATTTACTGTTTCCCCGAACTTGGAACTCGCGCTTAACGCAATGCAACACGTCTAACTATTTAGCTACAGAGGTCTAACGTGTACTATCCTATGTATTAAAACATTTTATTGTGTTTTAATAAAAATAAATAAGGATTATGTTGTTGTGTAGGTATTAAAGGATAGGATTATCCGGTATCTCGAATGAAGGTCCTAAAACTTTTACAAGTCGTAAAAACAATTCTAGCTCAAGGAGAAGTTATATAGCGTGTAAAAGCTTATCGTATAAGTCTCAAATGGTCCAGAAATATCAGACAAAACTGATATGTGAGTGACGTGTTTACTACTTACTAAACCCTCGGTTAGAATATTGAATCACTTTAGTCTGTGGTTCCGCTTACATTAAGCCATCATTTAAGCCATTTAAGCTTGCACGAGAATATTTTCTTACATAGATATTTGTCATGATAAAATTTTCCTCTTACTAATTTAGGAAGAATCTAGGCAGTTTGAACACAAATTTAAGTGATATTAATTTAATTCAAGCTGTATTAAATGCAACTAATTGATATTTTTGTAATAAGACAACCATTGGGGTTACCTTGATTATAAATACTCCATAAAACATCAAACGAGATGCGCTGTCGTCCTATTTAGGCTTTGAAAATTAGAAAATCTATAGACTGATACCGAGACGATAAATCTTCACGGATTTTCCTCCTGTGGTCACGATCACGATAGCCCGTGCACAATTTCGTTATTCCTAACACTGATTTCCAGATTTCCAGACGAAATCCAACATACTGCCTATAGTTTACGCGAGTAGTACACATTTAAACAAAACACTTTAACGGTTTAAAACGCGGTATATTAGTTAAAGTTAAAGTGAAAGTGTTTTATTTAAATGAAATCCAACATATTATAGAAAAATTATAAACTAATTTAAAACTTATTGGACCCGGTGGGGATTAAATCCACGACCCTTGATTATTAATCTTAAGTGCTACCATTCTCCAACGTGCTCACGTCAATATTTTTTTATATTCCATTCGGCCGTCAATGCTTAAGTACAAAGCTAAAACATGTTAGTTTAGAACAACAGAAAATTAAGTTAATGATTTCAGCTTATTTCTTGTAAATGTTCGTGATACCGAGATCTATCAAAGTTCGTGACTATCGCGTTTTAAACCGTTAATGTTTTATTTAAATTAGTTCTACTTGCATACACTACAGACAGTGTTTAAAGTGTCAATAACCAAAAGTGGGATGAACTAGCGCAGAGGAATTGACAAAAAGTATTCAAATTCGCCAATGTCAAGATGGAGACTCATTCATATGCATCACAAGATATTTGATTTTTTATGTAAAGGGCTTATCAAAGAAAAGTATATGCCAGCACAAGTGTAAGTAGAGACAATACCGACTGTCTTAAATCATCGGTCGTGTGTAGTTCCTACATTTTTGACTTCAACCTCCTAAAACGGCTAGTTTGTAGTCGTACCCTTCTAGGGTGGTGTTTACTGGGTCTGATCGGCTATACGATTTACCATGTCATATTGTCACCCGACGTAGGCGTGCATGAGGCATTCACACTATCAGTTTAAAAAAAGGGCACATTTCTGTATTCTTTTCACTTATCGATTTTATTCTCAGTTGAGTCGTTAATTTTCTATGCGTGGCTAAACATGGATAGTTTATTAGTTTTTCCTGGATTTAAACCCAGACACTTCCGCGCTTAACGCAATGCTAAGCACGATAAATAATCTACGGTCAACGGATCTCGCTATTGTGGTATTCTATATTTAAAAATGCGGGTATTTATAAAAATAGAATTAGCTGTAAAAGGAAATTCGCTTAGGATTAAAATTAATAAATGAAACACGATTTCAATTTAATCGACTTCTTAAATCTTCAGTTTTATCAGCGACGTAGGGTAAAAATGAATTCTGAGAATTATTTTTTGTATTTATATTTAAAAATAACTGGTATCACTTAATGTTAGCACCATATCATTTTACAATTTCCGTTTAATTGACGTTTTAAGCGGTATAATGTTTTGATAGCATTAATTACGTGTTAAATTAGTATAATAAAAATAATGTATGCATATTTAAATTAAATTTGACGGTTGATAACAAGAAATATATTAGTAAGACCCGACTTTTCGAAATAAAATAAAGTTAATTGAAATATTTCGTGTTTTAAACCGTTAAAATTGTTTTATTTAAATGTGTACTACTCTCGTAAACTACAGACAGTACTTAATGTAAGTACAGTACATAGATACGTATTTATAAACAGTATATAAAAAAGATTTGATAGTAAAGTGCTATCGTACTTTGTGCAATTCTAAATTCGATCTAGTCTCACAAAGATCCTTAGGAACTAGATAGTATAGCTAAATCCTCTTTACTATCAGCGATAAAAGATTTATAAAAAATCGTTTTAAAATTGTGTTTTAGTATTTATATTTAGTATCTAAATTGACTTACAATGTGAGAAGTTGTTCATTAAGAGGGGGTAAGTGTTGCAATCCAGCTGACCGGCACGTAAGTCGCGTGTCCCCATCTGTGCACGCGCAGCCCTGGGGCAAGGGGCCGGGGCATGCCCCAGCCGCCGCCAAAATAGCCAGCACGGCCAACGTAGCGCCTCCACGCATCTTCAGCCGATACCCGAACACAACTCCGCGCCAAACATCATCATAATACACTTGATCACTTACATTTACAATTCACAAGTAACCAATTTTTACGATTTTACTTGAATTTTTATTTTACCACTTCTTATAGATAAAATGTTTTATAAATTGTAATCGTATTATTTCAATTTCTACACCCTCTATATTTTAATATTCCGCAGAAACTTGGTCATTTTCCGATACAACGCGATCATCACAAACACTGCACTATCTAGATGACGTATTGCAGAGCGAGCGCACGTCCGTTCACGGCGAAGTAGCGACCGACTGTGACTGTTGCCTCGGCTCCGTCGCCAGCCTGTCTCGACGGATTGGCCGGATTCGACGTGTGCAGTTCCACGGTTCAAGTCATTGATAATGTCCTTTGAGCATACTATTACATTTTACGCTTTTAAAATTTGATAGATTCAAATCTATCCAGTGTATAAAAGTTATTTTTTATAATGTTCGTAGTGTCGGTTAATGTTTATAGGGGGTTAGTAATTAGTTTATTTAAGTTATATTCATATGTAGCATGTATTTTAAATATTTGATTATATTATGTTAGCGAGTAATCCGTAGCATAAATAAACCGCTGCGCGGCGAATTTATGAACGCATACAAAAGAAAATAAATCAATGATATTTTATGTTTTTTTAAAACACTTCAAGTTAATCTATTCATAAACAGTAGATTTTTTGCATTGTTAAACATTAATATATTGTTTTTGTATAATTGCATTGTATTATTAGCAAGTTTTTATAAGATTAAAAAAAAATACGTATACATAACCCATCGAAAACGAATCTACGGCGTAGCTCCTACTACGCTCAACAAATCTAGAAATTGACAAGTATAGCACCTACTTTGTAATTCTGTTTTTCACGTCACAACAAACTAACTGGTATAAACACCTGTTCAATCACTTAATTGCAGTCCGAGATACCGTTAAATATACAAAAGATTAAGATAAGTATAAATCCGTATTCTATTTATATCATGAGACAATGTTATTAATACAATAACATTGATAAGGCAGAAATAGCACTCCCGACAAACACTCGTTATCATTGCAAACAGCTAGTTGTAATGGTAATGATATTCTGCAAATAAATCAAACAAGGAAGAAAATACGGACAGTGCGCCAATATATTATAATAATGTTATCATTATTCAAATGAATAATAAATTAGCCATTTTCTCTAGTCAAACGATCTCGTTTTCTTAATACGTTTGGCACTTTTCGTGCATTCTTATTGATGTTGAGTCATTGCTGACCACAATAGATTCGGACGTGTTTCGACACAATGTAAGTATTTACCCCACTTTTGCAAATGGCCATCTATTGAGGTGGCGTCTTTCTCCAAGTAATTGATATCTGCCTAGTGCTCTATCCAATTCACTACATTTCTTTTAGATTATTAATTATTCTGATAAGTGATATGTGTAAGTTAAATAGAAAATTTTCAAATAACCTCGCTAGCGTTAGCTAGGCCTCTGAAGGGGTCACAAGTCTGTGACCCCTTCAGAGGTCACTGATAGTCATCAGTGTTAGGACATCAATCCCAACGTAGCTGAGTGCCTTCCTTTCCATAGTTTTATTGACTTCTTTATATTGTTTATTAGATTAAATTTTAATTGTAAATGTTGTTTTTGAATAGACGTATTCTATTATTTTTGATAATTGTTTTAACTCACTTGCTCTCTGTATATAATATTACTTACGAAACTACACACCTGAAGCCTTAGTTAATTGATGCGAAATATAGAATTGAAAAGCGTAAGCTTAGCAAAGGAGGTCATAACGTAAGTAATATAGAGATACATAAGTGCTCATAAAACGTTTCACAGAATTTACCGATGCAAACAATTTCTGTAGTTTGTCTGCGCCCACGAATGAGCAATGAAAGCCCACGTTATAGTTATAAGTTGATTAAATCATTTATTGTAAAATTTGTGTTTATATTTAATTATTTAAATTGGTATATAATTTAAGTATAGCGATATTTGCGATACTTGATAAACGTTAGAAAATACTGTCTGCAGATTACATATTTCAATAAAACACTTTAACGGTTTAAAACAAGATATATCGTAGTTAAACTTATTTGGAAATTATTTTCACTACGGCTTAAGAAACAAGTATAATTTATATCGCGTTTTAAACCGTTAAAGTGAATTGTTTAAATGTTAGGAATACAAAATAAGCTAAGTACACACACTCAATATCTTCGCTTGATGTTATAAGATTTGTGCCCAGTCAAGTAAGATATTACATATAAACGTAGTTTCAATTTCACACAACACAATACATTTCAATTAAGATGCTGAATCATTCCGGAATACACGCAAGCGAATTCGCAATTAGACTTTAATTTTAGCCAAGTAATTAATGTAGGAATATTAACTATTTGCTTTTGAGTCGTCTTCATAAAAGAGCTTAAAATCAAGTATATCTGAGACGGACCTAACACGTGTTTGTCAATTGTTTGCTATATAATTGTACGAGTAATATTTTATGTATTGCTATTAATTCATGTAGCTTCGCACTTCTCTTTTATTTTAAATCTCTACTCTATCTATCTATATTTTATTTTCAAACTAGGGTTGCTTGGAAGAGATCGCTCAAGAGGGATAAGGCCGTTGGCGCTCCATAAGTTATAATGTTTTTTACCCGAATTATTATGTATATTATTATAAAAAACCATGTGTTTCAAATTAAAAACAAATATCATACAATACAATCTTATCACACTCCCTTTAGTATTCATCCAAGATATAGTAAATCTATCCTAATCTCGAATAGAATACTAACATAGTAAAAAACGCACTTACGTTAAAGAAAAAAAAATGTTTTTAATAAAACTAATATTTGTGCAATTAATGGCAAAGACATGATGTATGTTAATAATAGACAGGGCACATTACGCGTGAATTAACATATCAATAAAATATAAACAGTTACAACGCTGTTATAGACACTTTTCTATGTTTCACTGATCGATTTAATGTATAGGATTGATCAGACTTCTGTTTACCGATCGACAAAAATTTTTACATTTTCCGCGCTTAGAATTTTGTGACGCAATAATATATATTGTATATTCGACACGTTGAATGTATAGGTACGACATATATATACGACAGCAGAGACTTGTTGATAGATCTTATTGCTAAATATAAATTTTCAAAATATATATGCTTTAACTTAGATTTTTTGGACTAAATTTTCAGATCTCTCGTAGATACTTTATCAGGAAAGGAGTGATAAGAATTGCGCATGCGCGGGCGAATAGAAACAACTTGAACAAAAAAGCTCTGCTGCCTACTGGCATGCTGAAACTCAGTGCCGGGATGGAATAAAGTTTTATGCAATACGTCTAGTTGCTGTATGCTTAATTAATGGAGAATTATTTTGGCATTTCTCGTTGACAACTGAGGACTAGCGCATATTAGTGTAAAGTCTTTTCAGTGTTTTTTTATTGTTTTAAATGTTATTAATAGTGTTAATTATTAATGTCGTTATTACTCTATCTGATGGATTTTTTGAATTGGGTACAGGAACTTAAAAACAATGTTTTAAACTTACACCGCATCTTCGTTCTAATCAACGTATTTCTAATGTAAGGCGGTGAGTAGCTATATGCAATGTGGTAAAGACAGACGACTAAAATGCCAATATAATATCAACAAGTCTAACTTTAACTTCAATACTCTAAATACATACCCCGGATCCTATAGGTAACTCCTGATTTATGTAACTATTGTTGAGGCGTATTAGTCTATATTGTAATTGAGAATAAAGAGATATGAAATTATATTAAAAACCAAGAAGGAGTATAGAGTTACATCATCACCTATTACACTGATGTTACGGGAATTATTTACTCACAAAAACGCACTCCACTACCGGTCGGAAACTATTATTACGATAACCAGTAGTTTTGCCATCACGCGGGTTATAAACTTAATATATCTTCATCTAAATTGTATGTGACTGATACGAATTTATCACAAAACTGTGCACAACAGCTCGCAAGAGTGGCAACGTAAGCGTTCGACAGCGCGCGCTGTCGTAGTTCGGGCGACGTATCGAAAAAACTAACTAACTACCCTCGTATATAACTATTTTACTTCGAACACAATGATGTAACCCTTATATTAGGACTAAGCAAGCTTACGATTAATAAAATCTATCAAAGGAGTCGAGAAATAAAATAAACAATTTCATAAACAACGTATATTTTAAAAATTCTTACTACATTCATCCCAAACCGGGTGCATTACTTAGTCTTAATCGAAGAATGTGCAATTAATACATATACCATATTATAACAATTACATAAATGCAAAATGATATGATTTTGAAAAACAAATATTTCAATTACAGTAGAGGTTATTAAATTTATTTAGCGGCGGGTTGCAGCAACCTCTGTATACATTTTCTGACGTACATATTAAATTATACAGTTGTTTTACTATATAAAAAACGTGCATTCAAACGATAATCTGTGGTAATCAATGTAAGCCGAAGCAACCCGCTCAAAAGAAAACTTGTATTCGTAATTTTTAAATGTTATAAGGCGTTTATTCTCTCGGTATATTTCTTAATAGCTATGGAAACATATCCTATGTTAAATAGATTTAAATTAACTTGGACCGACTTGTTCTCGTTAGAAATATTCTCAATAAAAATAATTAATTACTTACAATAAAGAGTGATAGCTGAGGATACTTGATTGATATAGACTCGGGACTTTTATGAAAGAGAAGCATAAGGTCCACTTGGTGGAAGGGGAAACACCTCAAACACATGAACTTCGTGAGTTGTTCATGACCGGGACGGACTTTCGATATTGCTACAACCATTCAGTTTTTCTAAGTTTCACACATTTCAGAAATAAATTGCTTTTCTAAAACACGTTTAACCTGATCGGAACCAAACCAATATCGTTGGTTCTTGTCCCATTGCTACTATTGGACGAGCGAACCCGTCAACTTATTGTTCTATGTCAAAACACAAAAATGTAGATGCCCAAGATATCTCTGTGGCTATATCAATAGTATATCCATTTGCCAACACTTCCAACCCCCTACACATAATTAATAATTCCATATTACAAACGTATAAACATACAAACATTCGTGTATAGTGTACTTTTATATGTAGCTTAAACTTAAAATCGCCTAAGTTAAGAATTTTGGCATACATTTTGAAACTGTATCTGGAAAATGATCGGAAAAAAGGCAGCACACATACGCTCAAGGGCCATCCACAAATTTTATATACATTTCTTAATTAAATGGTAATTCTCGCCATTGTAGACAGTTTTAAATAAAAAAACGCAAACTATATTAGTTACACTCGTCTATAAAATATTTTAGATACGGCCAAACGTTGGACGACGGATGCTTTGCAGCAGCTATGGTCACGAGGTGACTGAAGATGGGTATATCGTCAAAGAAAAAACTATTACGCTTTAATAGTTTTAATTTTAGTCGATTGTGTAATGTGTCAAAGTCCAGACCTTTGAAAACGTCTTCGTTATTGTATAGATGGCCCCTCAGATAGAGTGTCGAAATGAAAAAATAGAACCGAGCAACCAGTATTATAAGTGCTTGTAAAAGTATTGTCAACACGGGCTGACGTGTATGCGGTAAGCGCCAGTTCTTGCACCATATTTTAGTACAAATCTCTCATAAAATTACCTTATAAAATTAAGACTGCCCAGTGTGATGTAGTTAGGTCTTCGTCTACGATGTTCTTATCTGAAAATTTCATATAAATTAGTAGGTTGTAGTTAAATACTAGTTAATTCACACTCCGAAATAATATAATTTTGGTCTTGCCGAGACTCGAACCTGGGTTCGATGTTGATTAATGATTTTTTAGAACAATTGAATTTACTTTCAAGTGGAGTACTGCGATGCTTGGGTTTCACTTAATGGACAAGTGAACTAACCCAACTACATAATATCTCGACAAATGAAAAACTATATTTTTATCTTATTTCCAGACAAAGTGCACAATGCTTCAGGAAAAATGTGCATTGATGACAAACTATAGGGATCAACCAACTTCTCCACTCTACTTCAGTTTCCAAACAAAGCAAGAACAAATTCGAGTTACGATTTAAGTCTTTGGATTTCACCTTGACTTAGTGAACTCAACTGAATGACTTCCTTATAACACTCACTGCTGGACTTCGACTGGCGGCGCCATGTTGCACACTAGCTGAACTCCGGAGAGCAGCGCGGAGCGGATCGGTGCCGGCATCGAAGGCCGCTCCGCCGTGCGCACTGTCAGCTCGCGCAACTCGCGGAACGTGTTACGCGTGTACGGGTTCCTGCGTGACGCGTAACGCCACATCAGGAAGTAGTAGTACATGAATGGTGTCAACAGACCGCTGTATCCGCTGGAACGATACGAAATGGTTATTGGAGGGTGAAAATTGTATTTCGATAACTATTAAATAAACTCTTAACTATCACAAGTATCTTTTAAGTAGAATTGATACAGCGTTGGGCAACTGACAGAAAGCGGTAACGTTTAAAGTGCACGCGCATATTAATACGAAGACTTTTTATTCTTATCTATTTTGGCTTGGGGTCAGCAATGCTAACTGGACGTTTTTGAAGAACCGTTTTCGCAGCACACGCAACGAAAACTTTAAAATATGAATTATTTTCCAAATTTTTCCTCATTTCCCGCGGCGTGATGTTTCACAGTCTAAAGCCTTCCTCGATAAATGCTCTTACCAACACAAATAATTCTTCAATTCAAACTAGTAGTTCCTGAGATTAGCGCGTTCAAACAAACAAACTCTTCAAAAATCTATATTAGTATAGATTTTTGAGGGTAGACCAAGAGTGGCCAGGGGGTTTCTAGATTAATTAAACTACTAGAAGCTATTTGAACTCTAAGTTTGAATTATATCTTCCATCATATATATAATGTCGTAAATTATTATATTATATATTTTATGGTACCCGATGGAATCTAGGAGATTTTGGTCAAAGGGTTTTACACTTACAAGAGAGCCATGAATACGATGAGTGGAAACAGGACGATCTCAGCCAAGGCGACCGCGCGGAGGATGTTCCGCGACTGGAACTCCACTAGGGAGATCATGAGCCGAGCCACCCACATCGAGTTTTGCCCAAGCGTCTGCAAAAAAAAAACAAATCAAGTTCCTTTTAAGTTATAATGGAAGCGGTTAGCTGCCATGCAGATCATCACCTTCTCGATGGATTAGTAACTGCATGTACCTATTACGTAAATATATCCACAGCTAATGACTTGAGGCTTTTGGGACCGGGTGTTTAAAGTCGGGAACACAGTTATTTTCTTCTTTAGGAAAGTTTACTTATCAGATTAAAATTAGCACTACACATCAAAAAAAATTGTAGACTTTGTAAGTAGATTGCTTTTCAGATAGTTTCAATAGTTTGCTCAAATGCTCAACACAATGCTCACACGAGTTCATCTAGCGTTAACTGCGCTCTTTAAGTATCCTCTAATGGACCTAAGAACACTTTTAATCTGTTTTATAAATTGATATTTATGTCGTTGACCTATGCCCCGCCCAGATTAACACCTTCATGAAGATGGTCAAACTATATTTAACTATGTACTTGATTAAAATAAATGCAATACTTACATCTAGAATTGCAAGAGAGTACGATGCGGCGTGCAACATCGCAAAGAGGAAAACCGGCGCCAGTATTACTGTGCATCAGTTAAGGATCTTAAAAAATGTTTCTGATAAACTGTTCGTCTAAATATATGTATATAAAAGTAATGGTCTGTTTGCAAATACATTAAAAAATATTATCAATGAGTGTGTGTGTGTGTGTGTGTGATATTGCAAACGACGATTTGAATAAAAATCAAAACAGCAGGGAAATTGTTACGAGTGAAAGGAGCCTGAAGAGGTGTGAACAGTAAGTGAATATAAGAATAACAAAAAATAATGTAAAAAATAGAGGTTGGCGATAAAAGGGTGAAAATTTAATACCATGGTGTAACACATTCAACATTTTTAACAAAAAACCTTTATATCAATAAGTATAAAAAATTAGTAGATAGAGAGAGATATATATAACATATAAAAATAGTTGAAGCTAACTAACTCTGTGATATCTTTAAAATAATGTTTGAATTAGTAAACAGTAGTTTTACATAAAAAATAGCATGCTGTTGAAATCACCCTTCCGCGTAAACCACATAAATTTTAAAATATTTTGTTAACATATATTATATGCATTAAAGATAAAACGATTCAAAAATTATTAGTGTTTAGGTCAATTGGGATTTGATTGTTTATGAATCATTTAATGAGAGACTTTTAAAAATATGGTATCGAGGCATCGTCCATTTACATTAATACTTTTTCGTTCTCTTGTATACTTGGTTTCACACATACATTTTAATATATGTATAAGCTAAGTGTCAAGACGTACTGCCTTAAAATTGAATGAGGTTACATAAAAGTTATGTGGAGAAAACGTCAGCAATGGACAACACAGCCTTGTGGTGTCAAGGTGAACTTGTTGATGAGTTTTTGTCGTATATAATATCTTTATTGATGTCTTTTAATAAGTTGTAACGTTATTATATAATCATATAAATTATTTTATTTTATAACTTTTTTACGACAGAGACGTAAGCATGGGATTCGCTTGATGGAAGGCGAAATACCCCGGCCATATCTGAAGATGCGCTGTCGGTCTATTTTGACTTTGCATGTTTGGAAATCCATAGACTGAAATATAAACGCGATTGAACTTCACGGCTTTTTATCTGTGGTCTTAATTGACATTTTTACCACTCAAAGTCTTGTCTATGATGTAATAAATTATTTTCTATAATTGCGTATGTTTCTGCAAAATCTAAACTTCGCATATAAGGTCATATTATATAGTTACATATAAGGTCGCGAAACAATTTATTTGTATTACATACAATTATTTTCCACTACAAAAGTAACCTAAGCTAGTAAGTATCAGATGGATGAATTCCGTTTATAATTTTGCAACAGCATAAATATTACAAAATAACACAAATGATATTACTGCGAGAATGTATTACAGTGACAAGAAGCTATTAATTATATTATCAGTAATAATAATGTATTGGTCGTGTTACGTATTTTAGTCGTGTAAAATCGCTGTTAAATTCAATTGCAATAAAATACTATACATACTTGAATAATACTATGTGATACTGTCTGTAGTTACGAGTAGAACACTTGTAAATAAAACACTTACGGTTTAAAACGCGATATATGTTAGTTCGACTTATTTGAAAATTTTTTCAACGGTCCCACATTGCAGCAGCCGTGGTCACGGGTGCTGCAATGCTTATTGTCAAAGTAAATACTGCTCCGTTAATATATATCGCGTTAAACTGTGTTCCTGTGTTTCATATACAAAACAATTGAAAAGGATACATAAATTGGGCGCCACGTTCATGAATATTAGTGAGTAGAAGAGATAGTGTGCGCTGTCCTCTAAGAAAAATCTGTTCAGGAACTCTCGAGAGAAGGCTATTTCCCTCGGTGGAATCCTCTGGTGAAGTCGAAGGGCTGACGTCGCAGCATTGGCAAGCAGGGCTTTGTAGAATGCCGACGTTGGACTGTTGAATTTTGAAATTAACACATTGTACCAATTGCTGTATTGACATAATATAATGATCTTCAATTAAAAGCTATTCAGATCAATTGTCAACACAGTGACTGTATTCTCTGATATACCAACTAGATAAGAACATATCAGAAGAAAAATAAATTTATTGTTAGAGCGAAAAGAGGAATCTTAGTAGAAGTAAGTGTCAATAATTTAAGTGCAAATTATATTAAATTTAACCTAAAATTGCAGTTTTTACTCAGACGCTAATACCTGTTTGTAACTTATTACACAATTTCAAGGTCACTGTTTGTCTGTACTGTGTTGTCTGATTTGATGACTTAATTCTGAACTTACTTTGTAAAAATTGGGATAACATATCCTACAGTACATAGCATTGTCAAGATTCTTAAACCCCAGAGGGCTACATCTAGTTTGTTAGCGATTACATGGGCTTTTAAGGCAGGTATTCCTTTTGGTGGTCCAGTGTCACCTGCTTGTGGGTTAGGTTCTGCCATTCTGGAAAAAAATATAAACCATTATAAAATTTGTTGCTATGAACCCAAAGTGGTGTAATGACTTTAAAATAAAAGAGCACTAACTTTTACACAAAGTACTAAGTTTGCAATGAACATAGTAATACAGGGACAATAAAACAATGAATAAACATACACACACACACACACACCCGTGACCAGTGATACTATAAAGCTAAATAGGTAATTACACATTTCGCATCTTAAACCTTAAAATGTGTTTTATTTCAATAAAGATTTCTATTAAGAGATAGCAATCCTATGTTGCATATAGTTTGTATACAACTAATTAAAGTATGTTAATCTCTATTAACATTAACTATTAAGATGAAATCTAATAATTAAATACTGCTCTTACTCAGTGAAAGTTATATGGCTAGTACTGCAAGATTGTTACAATTGGCACTATAAATATATAATTATTATACTATAATTAACATAAGTAAGATATACTTAAGAATTGAACTTTTGTATTTAATTAACAACAAAGTGTGTTCAGTTTTGTTAAGTTTCTTGTTGACATTGAAATAACTTATTTTAGGTCAGTATATTTTCACCTTCTGTTTCACCTTTTTAAAACTTGTATTGTGTTGTAACCTAGTGAAATGTGAATAATAAGAAAAAAGGGTTCTGAAATCTGATAGTAATGAAACATATAAATTTAGTGCTATTATTATTCTTGTATTTATTTCAATGTACAAATACACTTTGCTGCAATAAAAAGACACCAATCTTTGATCACAAAAGTAGGTTAAAGAAAGTTATGTTTTCACTTTTCATCTCACTAACCACGTTTCAAATGTAAAATTTGGATTCACAAATGTTTTCCTCAGTCAACACTTTGTACTCACAATTATCTCTTTTAATGTTTTAAATAAATCTTAATTGAAATGACATCAGCACAACTTCAATGATAAGCAATTGACATTGGCTCTGTATGTGTTGACTTAAAGACTAATATTTACAATGAAGTACACCGTCTTTCACTATTAAAGAAAAAGATTGTAGTATTAATAAGTTTACTAGGTAAAATATAGATGATAAGTGTTATCAATGTCTTAGATAAACTTGAATGATTATATGCCATAGCACATGTATTGCACCTGTACTATAGTGCAAATAAAATCTATGACAATTTTTTGATTTTATTACAAAGAATAATATTCATTTGAGATAATGTAACTCAAATTATTGTCGAATATGTAGGCCGTGACGTTTTAAAGTCTGTACATATAAGGTAACCTTCAATTAGTATACAAACGTAACTTTTATTAATGCGTGATATTACAAAGTAAAAAAACTCGTTTAGGGAAAATACAATAAAACTATTTTACATAAATCAGCGTTAATAAATGAAGATGTCTTGTCATGATAAAATTGTATTTAGAAAGTAACTTACGTGTGGTATTTTCCTTTGCGATTATTGAAAGTTTATTGTATGAAATATAAAGTTGTTAAACTAATATCTTAAGGAAACTGAATCTTATATTACAATATAACACTTAACACTACAAAATCCACGAAAGCACAGACGAAGCATACGACATTCGACACGGTCATGAATCATGACCCATGATTATTGAAAGTGATTCACAGTGACAGTTGACATTGACAGCAAAATGTAGCGAGAGCTGCCCTCATAAAAGCTATTGCAAGTTTTTGTGTCGTAAATATTATGTGCTATGTAGTTTGTATGTCTAAGTTTTAAGTTTTTTTTAGCTTCATCCAAATTCGAGCGTGAATTTTTCTTTTTAAATATATACATTCTTTAAAATACCGTGATTTTTCTTCATCGCGCCTTGTCATTCCTCTCGACATACGACTTTGACAGAATCCATTCAGAATGGGAAAGCCGTCAAATTAAGAAGAAGAAGAAATATGACCTTTGGAGTAAACATTTGTCAATAACAAACATCTATAATTTTTGTCAAATACACTACTTACGGGCTAAGTGTTATAGTGCGTTATACAAATACATTAAAAACACTATGTTCATATAAGAAGAAAGTGTGAGTGAAAATAAGACTTAGCTTAAAGGTCTCGTTCCAGGCCATTAAATATTATTAAAAAAAAAAATCTTACGGGCTGTCAAGATGAGGAAATATGCCTAATATAATATCATAATATGACCAAAAAATATATATTATAGGTATATTGCAATACACAACATATTTATATACCAAAAGCCTAATACACGAAAATGTTAAAACATACGTTTTCCCAGTTAAAAGTTTTCTCATCGTACCACAAAAGTTATAGTGTTCTTGCGTCTATATTAGAAAACCCTGATATTGGCAATAAAGCTGAAGTAAAGGTTATAAACACTTTTTAAAGAATTTTAAAAAATATTGATCATTTTGACATAAAATCCTATATAATATTTTCAGGGTTGGGTGAAGAACCTACGGGTCCAAAAACAATTAGTATTTGCCGATGTTAGCGATGGATCGACAGCAACAAAGTTGCAAGTTTTGATTCCTAAAGATATTAGTCCTGATGACTTAACGTACGGCAGTGCTGTTCATGTCACCGGCAAACTAAGCAAAAGCCCTCGAGGACAGCTAGAATTAAAAGCCGACAATGTAAAAGTATATGGTAAATGTGTGATACTAGATGGATATCCATTTAATCCACGAACGATCCATCCACCTGACTATTTACGTCAATATTTACATTTACGTTCCAGAACAAACTACATTTCGGCGGTCCTTAGAATTCGACATTCACTTATAAAACACATGCATGACTTCTTCATATCTAGAAACTATCTGAATGTACACACCCCTATATTGACATCAAACGATTGTGAAGGAGCTGGAGAAACATTTAAAGTATCACCCGATAATGCAGAGACTGTTAAAGCAATGATGCAAGAAGGTAGAGATAATGATACAGCATATTTTGGCACTAAATCTTTTCTTTCTGTTTCTGGCCAACTACATTTAGAATCTGTTTGCAGAGGGATGGGTAATGTTTATACTTTAGGACCAACATTTAGAGCTGAAAACTCTAGATCAAGATTACATTTATCAGAGTTTTATATGTTAGAAGCTGAATTAGCATTTTGCCAATCTTTAGGAGAGCTGCAGTCTATTATAGAAGATTTAATGAAGCACATTTTCAAAGAAATCAGAAATACAAATGAGGCAGATTTACATGTGATAGATAAGAATAATATTACTCCAAAATGGTTAGAGAAGACATTTGTAACTATAACTTATGATGAAGCTAAACAAATATTAGGTCACAAAGGTATAAATTCTGTAGATGATGGAATCAATAAAGAACAGGAACTGGCTTTAGTTGATCACTGTAATGGAGTGCCTGTGTTTGTTGTACAATGGCCAAAGAAGCTTAAATCGTTTTATATGAAAGAAACAGAGTTTGATAACCAAAAAGTATTACCTTTTTTCCTTGTTAGTTAGATTTTAATTGAATTGCAAAACAAAATGTTAAAGTCTTAATTTCTATTTCAGGTAGATGCATTAGATCTGTTAGGCCCTATAACAGGAGAAATAGCTGGAGGCAGTTTAAGAGAAGATAATTATGAAAAATTACAAGCTAAATTACCTTCAGATGCACTAAACTGGTATTTGGAGCTCCGCAAGTTTGGAAACATACCAACCGGCGGCTTTGGTCTAGGCATTGAAAGATTATTACAAGTTTTATGTGGAGTACCTAACATAAAAGATACTCTACCATTTCCTAGGTGGCCACACAATTGTAGTATGTAAAATTGTAATTGTAAATAAATTATAATTGTTATTGGCCGAATTTTTTTTTAGGAACCACCACCAGAATGTTTATCAATCCACAAATTACATTACAGAATAGATACTTTTTTAAATTTTAATAATTGTCAGTAAAGAGTCCGATTGACAATCTTTTTTCCAAGAAAGCATACATTTTTGTAATATTATAGTTTTTTGTGGATCTGTAGCACATCTTCAAATAAATCATTTTATTGCATTCTGCCTGGATTTAAACCTTGTATCGTTTCAAAACTCGGAGTCGGAAACATTGGTTTTGTTTAAAAAAAATTAATAAAGAAATAAACAGTTTAGATGAAATTATTTATTTACACACATTTAACAAATTAAATGACACCATCTAAGAGTAATTCAAATTGGTTTAAGACGTATAAAACATCTCACAAAACCTTATAAACTAGAGATTCTATTTAAAAAAATTGTGCTAACACCAGAACAAAAAAGAACTTATGTATATAAAAACTTGAAATATGAGTAAACTAAACTAGTTTAATAGTAATATTTATATGAATCTTATTATGTAATATCACATTTTTTTATGTAGTTTATTATTTTAATTTGACAATTGATTACATAGTACATAGGTACGAAAATGCTTATGAAAGAGAAGTAGAATAATGAAGGAGTAAAATTCAGTAGAGAGTTAATTTGTACACATGACATGTATCTTAGTCTAAAATCTAAATGTATATGGTCTATGAAATGGCAGTGAAGCTGTTAGCCATTTATAACTTTGAAACAATTCCGATTACCTACAGTTCATTTAGCTAGGTTTTCACCTTAAGGTAAGCACAGTGCCCTACAATTTTGATCTATATCTTGTTTAATATAGCATGTAAGATTTGAGATAGTAAAAGCTAATAAAGAATAATCTTTGATAATTTCTGTATGTTATTGAATTTGGTAGTTTATGAAATGAAAGCGTTATCTAATTATCGATTTGCTATTCGAAAATGTGTAAACTAATAATTATTAGGATCTTCTTTATTTGTTTGTAGTATAAGTAATAATATAAATTCGATTTTACATTCTACAATGTCAAAGAAAATTTGAAAGCACAAATTGTATGGTTTGCATTAAATATAAATTTACTTACCTATATTAGACAAGATATGTCTGTGGTACAATAGTGATTACCTAACTATACATTAGGCTAAGAGAGACACATAATTTTACTGGTATTATCCCTATTTTTCGGTTAATATAGATGATAACAGTTTAGAACAATATGTATGGTTTTCAGAACAATAGAAACATGTCACCTAACTCTATGTTTTATGTATGATCCATTTGCAAGTTCAACAAACAACGATCACATAATAGAACACAAACCAGACAGCTCATTGCCTCTCTGAACAGGTGGTTGTCGACTGAACTGAATGCACTCAAGTTGTGGTTTTAATTTATATTCTAATTCAGGTTCCTCACCAGGTGGCAATGGTTCATCATCGGCACTGATATCTTCAAGCACTTTTTCATCACTTGAGCTAATAAATGATGACACCGTCTGTAAAAAGTGTTAAGTTTAAATATTAAAATTGTTTTGTAAATCAATTAAAGCCTTAAATCGTTACACAAAACGGGACTCAAATCCAAAATCATGGTATGCGTAATACGCATAAACCAACTGATTCCTCTGTTTATACATTTTTTTGTACAATATCACTTCTCACTTGCATCAACATGTGAAAAATTATAGGTTCAAGTTATGAGTTCTGTTAAATAAAAGTTTGGGAGTAGACAAATTAATCTTAAGATTAAACAAATAAGAATATAATATAGCTGCTGTGCAACACAACGTACCTTATTAATATTGATCCTAATGCCCCCAAACGGCAGACTTGGGGCAGTAGTAGCATCATCGAGTTGGACATTTCCATCAATAGACGATGTGACAGTTGTGTGGGTGGTCTCGATGGTGACTGCTGGCGCTACAGTCTCAACTTCTGCTATTATCGGTTCATCGTCTGAAATAAAATATAGGACATTGTTATATAGTAATGAAAATTATGGAAGAGTTAATTAATTGAATTCCATTCCTTAATTTATGGTATGGCTTTCGTCGTCCTTGTTTTTTATTTATACAAAGTTGATTAGTAGAGATAGAAGTTAGTGTTTTTTTTACACCTAGAGAATATTATATTGAAATAGCACGTCAAATATGTTAAGAAATTAAATCTTCATTAATTTTCAATTGGTAAATAAGTTGGATAAGGACATAAGATTCATTTACCTGGATCAATTGGTTCTTGTTTGATTTTAATATTTGCGAAATCAATAGCGGCCAATTCGTCACGCTTTGTGCGTTCCGCTTGAGTCTCGTCGTCTGTATCCGCGTCATCTTCTACCACTACCTGCTCCACAGGTTCTACCTTTAGTAGAACGTCATCTTCGTCACCATCATCATCCAGTTCATTAATCTAAGATCAAATTAATATTGTATTTAACATAGTATACGTGCCTCTTCTCACATAGGATGTATCATGTAACTTGATATTTGTAATGAAAATTCAGGACCTATTACTATACAGATGCAAAAGTACATTTCATATAATCGACAAGGATTTGTGGAGTTGAAGAATTTACAAGCAACTTTTCTTTAAGTCTGTTTTTCAAGAAACATACAAATTTAATATAAGAATACATAAATTTATTTTTTACCTCAACTGCTTCCTCTTCCTTCACCGGTTCAACAACTTCTACAACCGACTCATTGTCCGACGTGTCGCCGTCTTCAGCGTCCGCGATCTCAATCGGCTCTGGCTCCTTTGTTTCTGCTGGCATCTCCATAATTGATTCATCTTTAACCTCTTCCTTTGTTAACGATGCCTGCAAAAAGAAAACAATTCAAATATAATATTTTCAATATGTGGATCGTATGATAATAGGTCCCGCCATGATCTCGGCTGCTGCAAAGCATCCGAAACTTCGCATTGTATTTAAATTCAATTAAAGGTAAGATAATATATATATTTAGCGTTTTAAACCGTAAATTTTCGTTTATTTATAAGGTAACAGTTCTAGTAATAATTAAAATCTCAGTTGACACATTTTATGAAGATATGGGTTTGGAGCCCGTCATTTTCAATATCATTTATACATATTCTGACTTTTCTAAATACATGAGGTGTAATTTATATATTAACCAGTAGGTGAGAATGACAATATTTCGTAATGTGGTAAAACGACTAGGTTACTTTTTAGATGTTATTTATATAATGTACACATATTAATTTTTATAGACGTTACCTTAAAGTCTTCGAAGCAAATCGGATGATAGTTCTTATCCTCATGTCGAACAGAATTCCTCAGATGCCACTCCTCCTTGTCCTCGTTATAAAATTGATCAAATTTGTCTCCACAGAGTGCGCACGTATGATCCGCTGGAGGTCCTGCCGCCACACTCGGGGTCTCTTCAACTACTTCCATTGGAGTCTCGCCCTCTTCAGCGCCACCAGTTTCAAACCAATTCTTTTCTAATAAAATATTGAAATAAATATTATCAATTCAAAATTAATTACGGTATACGGTATAGGAATGGATAATCATTATTACTAATGATAAATAGTTTCAGTCTGGGATTCACTTGATGTGAGGTGAAATACTCAATAATAATATCTAATCAGCACATGTCTGTACTGACAACCTATTTACAGAAATATAAAATGCTATTAACCTCTTTCCTCCAAGTCTTCAATTTCTTCGTACTGCACCCAGTCAGAGAGGTCATAATGCCAGTGCCTGCTGTGCGCCCTCCTTGCGGAGTCCCTCTCACGGCGGTTCTGCCTGAAGTGCCAGTCGAGATGCTGGGAATAGCGTACTGTGTGCTCAGGCGGGAAGCGGGCACCACAACCACTGCACTGCATTCCACCGTATAGCTTTGCGACAATGCCTGGTTGTTTACTGAAAGACAAAAAAACAAAGGATTTAAAACACTATAACTGTTTTACGCGAAATACAATTAATCAAATCAAATATTAAATTATTATTGTTATTAGTTAAGTTTATTTGAAAATTATTGTTAGCTATATATCTATATACATATTGAATAAAAATTTAAAATATTGTAGTATCCACATAAATACTTACACCCTCAATGTCTCAGGCCTTAAGAGATCAACTCTGGTAATTACGTTCTTATCTTCTTTCGATTTTGGTTTAATTTCTTCAGGCTTTTCTTTGATCTTTGGTTTTTGTTCGTTAAAAACAGACACAATTCCAGTGGCAACCAGCTTCGCAAACAGGTCGTTCACATTAAGATTTCCTAACACCGGTAGAGGGTTTGGCTTCTCTTCAGCAGGAGTTTCCAGTCCAGGAATTTTGTCGGGCTTCACGAAGAGGGGTTCAGCCGAACTATATTCCGAGCTGGCTGCGGGAGCCATGCTAGTCGGCATTAGACTTGCGAGCATATCTAAACCTAAAATTTGGATTATTTTGTGGTGAATTATTTATAAAATGAAGAAAGAATAAAACAGATAATCTTAGGGCTTTTAATTATTCATTATTCTTATGAAAAAAATAATGTTGTTGTAATGTTACCTTTGTTCTCGTTATCTGGACTGGGCGATTTTTGTGGTCTTTCAATTGATGTTGAGTCAGTTTCCACACAAGAAACATTGTTGTCAAGCGTGGGTGGAAAAGTCAAAGATTTGGAACCTTCCATGTTTGCGATCTCCACTTGCCCAGGCTTAACAAATTTGGGCAAAGCAGAAAATCTTATAAAATACTTCTCGCCATTGATCAATATCGGCTTAGGTAGGTCGCCAAACTCCACTTCGAATGGTTGCTCGTTAATAAGAACTGTGCGCAGTGAATCTACGAATCGTATAGAAAAGAATTTACCGTTCACATGGAACTTTTGCACTTTCGCATCTAAATAAACGGGACATACAGATGTGGCATTAACAATAAGGTTAATTTTGCCGGCCACCAGATCAGTCCTTTTTTCTTTTCCGATATCGACTTGCGGAAGAGGCCCTTCCAAATGTACCAAGTGTGGTTTACCATCTATAATGAGGCCCAATGGCTGCCCTCCAAAGTAACATTCGTACCAGCGTCCATTTATATATAACTCCCTGGTGGGAGCGCCGAATCTGATATTAAACACTTGGTCGTCAATTTCAACTTGTTTATATCCTTCGTTAAAAGATAACACGACTGAATCTTTATTGTCGAAAGTGACTCTTCTACAGCCCGGTAGAAATTTAATCTCGCGAGGATCATCCCAATCCATCATTATCACCGCTGTTTCACCGTAAAATCGGATTTCTCGGGAAATACCATCAATTTGTATAGTTTTGACAGGGTCCCGATCTATATATTCGATAACCCTATAATCGGTGGGTGGCACTTCATAGCCAGGCAAGCCCAATAGGGGCGGAGACGACGTTCTGCTGTACGGCTGTAAGGGACTTTCACCTTGACATATACCGAATTTCGGGGCCGGTAAAGGCATTTGCATTCGAGGATCAAATGGCGGCCGCGGTCCCCGTTTATCGAATTTACCTCTGTAATAGGGAGGTACGGGTCCCCTAAATCTTCTCGGTCCGTACTCCTCCATCCTGCCTCTAGGTTGACCTCGCCAAGGGAATGGACCCATGTTTGGGCCATACATGGGCATCATTGGTGGCATAGGAAGTAATACTTTTCTTTCTCCTTCTTCGTCAGAGTGGTTAATTCTCATATCAGAATCCTCATGATTGATATTATTTTCAGAGCTCAAATCAGCAAAAGGAGCTTGTATTCTTTCATCAATATCTCCATATCGGTTTTTGTCTGACGGAGATGATTTTGGGGAGACGATTTTATCATCGTCTTGGATATTTGCAGCATGTAGTTTCCGTTTAGATATTTCTAAAGATTCTTTTTGTTTTGCTTCTTTTAGCTTTAATTTTTCGTTAAGTTGCAACACTTGGTACATGAGAGTATTGTATTGATTCTTATCAAGTTTGCCATCGTTAAACTGTTCTTTAGCCTGACTCATTATAATGGAAATTGTCTTTTTGTGATCTTCCGCGTCGAAATCGTCTCCACTCTCAGCCCGCGACTCAATTTCTTCTGTACTTATGGTACGACGCCGCTCCTTCTCAATGCCTGAAAAATAAATTTACATTATCGTACATTGATATGCCATGAAAATGTGTGATAAAATACAATGAAAATAAACACACTAGGAGACTTGCTGAAGAGAAGTGGTCTTCCAAGACGATCCTTGCTCCGGGTCGCCTCAGCCAATTTAGCTCTGACGAGATCTAATTTGGAAGGAGTTTTAACTGCTTTCTTTTCCTTTACTTCATTCCAGTCCCTTTTCGGGGATCCCAAAGGCGAAGCTTCTATAAAATCGCTATCATCTTCGTTGTTGCGATTTGTTTTCTCTGATTTCTCAGGAATGGGCGCCTTTTTGGGACCATTAGTTTCCTCTACTTGAGGTAATTGTCGTAAGTCCACGTCTTCGTTACCAAATAGACTGAAATTATAAAATGCTATTACCATAACTATTCTTCATAAAATAAAAAATATTATTAAAAACAAAGGTCACTCGAAACCTCAAATAAAAGGAAATACTTACACATCAAACCTATCAAGCTTATTTTTCTTAACTTTGCCTTCAAGCAATTCAGTGGAAGGACGTTTTTGTGCTATTGGAGCTGCGTCGGCGATAGCTGAAGGCAAAACGCGCAAGTCTACATCCTTAGTCTCAGTAACAACCTCGGGTACATCTGAAAATATGACTATATTTATTGCAGCCTTTTATCCGAAAGATCGAATGTTATACCTCCCTCTTTTACCTTCACACCAGGTCCATCGGTTTTACAAGTTACTGTCATATTTATTGCACGAGTCCAGTGAACTGACGTTTTTGATTTACTTACCATAAGCCTTATTTCTATTGTCTTAATACTAATGTATCGACGAAGATTTATAATAAATTGTTAGATACTGTTCATACATTAATTCATTATTTATAATCCGTCACCTGATATGGGAATTACCGTTTAAAGAGAACAAAAATTCTAAATGCTTTTTGTAGTAGATATTTAAAGATTTTTTTTATAGGCAACAGAAAACCATTATAAAGTCTAAGTAAAGTACAATACAAAAGGGGATATAAAAAGTAATTGGATACATATATTTAGCTTTATAGAAAAATCCTCCTGCATTTTTGTAAGAATTATAACTAACATTCATAAAAACTTAAACTAGTCAAAAAGTATGGTTAAAGAAACTACAACAAATTACATCTTATATCAAGTCTTTTTAGGTACACAAGGTTAGTAGGTTATAAAAAGTACGAAGTCAAATGTTACCTAATTTCACATTTTTTTATGAATGAGCTTCGGCAACTATCCAGCAAAACGTATTTTTTTTGAATTCTCCATAGACAACTGTTAAGAAATAAATATGCAGTGCATATGGCCCCAAACTTCATTTAAGTTTTTTTAAATAAAAAGGAACACGTTAATATGTAAAAATGTGTTCACGCGAATAACTCGTACATTTAGTGGTGTTCTGTCGGCGTTACGGCATTCTTGATGAAATAAATCTTTCACGTCAGACTTAACTAAACTAGTTCACATATCCTGAATGAATTGCACTATTTTATTCATTGCTTAAGTTAAAATTATGCGGTCAGCTCACTGGTAGTATTATAAAGGTTTGTTTGATTAGGATATAAGTTTTATCACGCTCGAAGGCACGAAAATGAGCCTTTTGACGAATTAAAATAGAGGGATCAGAAACCTAACCATTTCAATATGAATACTCAGGCGATTGCAAAATGTTTTTATTTCCACACAAGCGGCTTACAACCTAGTATCACAGTATGACTAGAGTTTGTCTTTAAACCTAACCTCGCATTCTAAAGAGGGATATCTTACTTGTAGTTTCTTCTAGAACATGTTCGGGGATCTGGGGCACACTTTTATCAACATGTTTATCCTCTGCTCGTTCGGGGCTTTCAGATTTCTCCTTGTTTCTTCGCATGTAGCGTTCCTTATGATAATTCTTTAGCTCCTTAAATGCTATGACCTCGGGATCCGACGGTTTCTCTTCAGCTTCCATACGATCTTTTAGCTTTATTTTTTTTTCTTTTCCCTTTAATCTTTTATCGGGAGAGCTAGAACTCGAGTCTTTTGAGCTATCGCGACTTTCTTTTCTTTTCTTTCGTTCGCGGGGGGTGTCTTTTTTTCGTTTAGCGACAGTATCCTCTTTAAGTTCGCCTCTATTGATTTTAGGTATCGGAGGCAACTTGCTTATTTTTTTCGGGTCAGGTAAACGGTCAATCAAAGAAGTTTCAATTGGTTTTGATTCTTTTTCTTTATCGCGCCTGTCTGGTTTGGGACGATGTCTCTCTCTTCTTTCTAAACGTGGATCCCGACGTCGAGGTTCGGTACGTATTTCATTAGGGACGTCTATAGTGATGACATTCTTTCTTTTTGTCACTCGATCGAGTGGTTTAATATCAAAAACGTTGGCAGCAATAGGTGGCTGGATAGACGGTTTCACGGGCATTGAAGGTATTATAGGCGTAGGAGCTATCTGCGGTGCAGCGCGTCTGGCTAAACGTGGGTCGCGACGCGCAGCAGCTAGAGCTCCACTAACGGGCGCAATACGACCTCCTCCAGCTTTATTCACCGGCTGCAAATAAAACTTGTGATGAAATCTAGCTTTTTAGAAAAATACGGGACCTTTCAAAGTTAGAATGCATATTGTTTATATTGCATACTATATATGCATTTTGCTAAACAAATAAATTCTTTAATAATGATAACTATATCTGTATTATTTCGAATATTACCTGGATATATAAGAACACCAATAATTATTTATTTCCATTGTAGAAAAAAGATTTTGCAGAGGATTTAATTGGTATTAAAGAAGGATAATAATGATAAACTTACAGGCCCCAATCGCTGTTTGACGGAAACAGGTGGTGCCAAATCTGGAGTAATTGGCATTGCAGGCAGGACTTGCGGTGCTACAACAGGGTTCACCATAGCGACGGGCATCGGAACACTTGGCGATGCCCCAATCTGCTAAACACGTTTAATTTTAGGTATAGAATTTGAACCTAGGATTTAAGTTTATATATTCATTCATGGACACTATTTCAAGTACTTGATACAATAACAACTTGAATAGACTTCCGAGTAACTTCAGGTGTTGGTCCTTCGAGTCAGTCGTGACAGATATTGGATTATAGACATTCCACACCATACATACACACTGTACATTCACAGACGAAATACTACATTTCTATCATTACGTTATTTTAATAAGCTAGTTACGAATTATTAACAACTTAAAATAAAAAAAATGTATTACATATGACGCCATTTCATAGAACTTTTAAATAAAAAATCCTGAAATACTAGTGAGGTATTAACCTTTATAGTTGATTTTTCAGCAAGTTGTAGCTGCCGTCGAGTTTGCTCCAACTCCATCTCAACCTTTTTTCGTTGCAGCATAAGCAGCTCTTGTTCTTTCTTAGCTAGTATGTTGCGCATGCGTTCTTCCTCTTCAGAAAGCGCGGAAGAACTCGGTGCTGGCGAACTCTATCAAAGATATTATTTGTTACATAATATGCTTATACTAGACAGTTTTTAACTAAACTTTAGCAATTAAAAATAAATTTATAATAATACTTTAAAATGCCAAACACATACAGCTAAGCTACTAGTGTATGTAACTAGCTTTTTACTACAACTTTGCTAAATTAGATGATCCGAAGCATGAATAGCACATAAATTACATGAAACATAATCAACTAAAAAAACACCTTTTTCAGAAAATTGGGATTTACATGGATGTTAGACTGGTGAGGCTGCGCTTGGATGGGCCATGCGGGGTCTATGAGGTTCACTTTCACGTCAAGTTGATATAACTTCGTTGACGGGAACACTTCGTGCCATGTCTCCCGAAGTTTAAACATTTGCGATCTCACCTTCTCATCCACCTGTAATTTTAAAGTAGTGTTATAGGAAACAATTTTAAATGGAAATTAAAGCAATTTCAATAAAAGAAAATTGTTTACCTGCTTAAAGGTTTTTGTGAACATGTTGACGATAGTCTGTGAGAACTTCTGAGTGTATGCACCTCCAACATTCTTGATAATTGAATCAACTAAATACAGAACTGGCAGCTTGATGTCTGCTTGAACCTGTATGGAGGAAAAATATTGTCTAATCCCAAACCCCAAAGCTGACGAAGTCCAAATACAACTAGACTTGTCAGTAACCCTTAATGTGACCAGGTAAGAATAAGACAAGTTTTATTCATAAAAACCCATTTAATAGTCTCCTGAGTAAATAAAGTAGAAATCAGTTTTCAGAATCTCTTTATTTATAGTGTTACAACTGAATTTTTTTTACTTACAACCCAATCTTTTATATTCTAGAGATGTCAATTTCACTGGTATCCCCAAGATCATTGTTAGAGTTTGTACACAACTACAGAATGTGTTTTATAGTCCTAAGCAAAATGTTTTCATAAGAGTATTGTAATATTGTAGAGAAAAATTTACTAGTATCATGGATGTTAAATGCTTTTCTTGCCTTCAAGGTGAGGTTGTTATTTTAAAATTAAATAGATACTAGTTGACAAAAGGCATTCTACTGTTTAATCAAAGTATATTTTAAACATTCTAAAACAAAAAGGAAAAATATGTTACGATTCAAGATGGCTTTTCTAACCCTGGATACAAATGCACCAATAATCACTTCTAGAATTAAAGGGAATACCAGTTTAGCGACATTATAGTACATTGAATGTCGAATTTTTAACAGTTAGCACAAAAACGCAGCTGAAAGCGCGTCATCGTATTAGTAACCACTTTCACAGCAATCTACGTTATAGATAGCGTGGCATTTCGGCGCCCGCTGCGCTCAGTATTAAAAATACAAATTCACCTTCTCCAGATGCTTCTCCACCGTGTCAACGATAACCCCCGCATGATCGACGTTCTCTTCTGCAAGGATGGTTAGCATATTTATCAAGGGCTTGCTGTTCACGGTCAAATCTGCCAGACTTGACGCGTACTCTTCCGCGATTTCCTTTTCTTTCGACATCTTGGAACGTCTCCAAAATCACCATGCCACTATCCACTGTAGAACATTACTGAAAACATTAAATATTCTATAACGTGGCTTGATAAAATGGCGTTTAAGATAAAACACGTAGTTTAAAACTTACATTATCACTGATCTCAACTAGTTATGAAATAGGTAAAAACGCACTCGTCTGCTCAAGTTCACGTACATAACACGTTATAGTGTCCAAGGTACATTTTAATCACGTAATATATACAGCAATAACTTTAAAATCTTAAGCTGCCTGCTTTCTCGATGGGCGCACTGATCACGTCGCGTTATAATTTGGAATGAAACAAAATGGTGGATAGCGGAAACTGACTCAGACGGCAGAAATGTTACCAGTAAAGTATTTGTTTACCCTACTTGCTTCAAACGAACGGGTAAACATTGTAATTCTTTAATTAAAGATTATATTTGACTATGTTTAATGAATTTATTTCGTAATCTATATGATTTCTAGACCCCATTTTATAATTTTATATCACATTATTAAAATTACCTCAATTTTTTTTACATTTAGAGAATTTCTTTAATTTTAAAAATATTTTTCGAAAAATGGCAAGAACATTTTCTCTGCGACTAATAATTATGAACTTTTCTGCAGTTGTCATTTAGTAAATACTTGACAGTTTGACAATCACTGATGACACATTATTTCGTTGTCGTAAATGACTAAATGTCGATAAGATATCAAAATATTGATTGAGATCCACAACTTCTTACTTCTTCGCAGGGTAAATAAGAGATTTTTATCACTTTTAACAATTGGATATAAACTTTGTTCGAGTTTCAGTAATTCATAAATGTTAAAGATCTGTAATCTGTACTGATTACATTATGTCGAACGTAAATACGGGAGAGCTATTGAATTTTCAAGATTATTCACCTGAACACAACCGGAGTGCAAGAATTGACGTGGAAGCGGTACATACAAATCAATATAACAATGCTAACACCAGCTATGACTATGTAGAGCCCAAGCCTGTAGTAGACGACGAAGAGCCAATCCCAAAGACTGGTATGTTGAAGGAAAAACGTTAAATATCAAACCACAATTTTTTACAACAAGAAATATTGTTTAATAGTGCTATAGAAGTGTAGTTAATATACCTTTGCTCACAAATCATTTAGGTTAAGAAATCTGTAACAAAACGATTATTATTGTATCTAGGTAACCACAATTTTTGGACAATCGAGTATTACCAAAAATACTTTGATGTTCACACAAATGAAGTTGTAGAGAGGATTGTCTCATCTGTGCTACCACAGAAAGTCTCCCGCAATTATTTTGATGAGAGAATCAAAGGAAAACCTGATTTATATGGACCTATTTGGATTTCGGTGACCCTGGTAAAACTTAAAATTATTTACATAAATTATAATAATTTTAAGTATTTCTTTCAAACCGGTACCATTTCAGATCTTCACCATTGCTGTTAGTGGTAACATTGCGAGTTACCTTCAAAATGCCAATAAAACAATTCATTGGAAATATGACTTTCATCTTGTGTCATATGCATCAACAGCTATATTCTGCTATGTTTGGTTGGTGCCACTGGCTTTGTGGGCCGCTCTGAAATGGACCACAAATCCTGATAATCAGGATCAAATGGAGACACAGGTTAAGACTTAACAATAACAACAGTACGTTACTGCTTTCTTCCACTTGCTTTCTCTCATTTTATAAGCACTCATCTTTGTTCATGATTTATCTTTTAACATATTTTATACAAAGATTGTATTAATTTTCTTTTTGTAATTAATATGTGTAATTTAACTTTAAATTTCAAAATAAAAAAATGATATGTGTTTATTTCAGACTTCAACTTCACCAACCATGATGTCTCTCTTCTGCCTCTATGGATATTCCCTGTCCATATACATACCAGTTGCAATTCTTTGGACCATCCAAGTCTCCTGGTTGCAGTGGTTACTGGTATTACTTGGAGCATTTGTATCTGGGGCTGTTCTCATCTTTTGGCTTCTACCCGCATTGAGGAAGTCTAAATATTTTCTCATCTTAGTCGGATGTATATTAGCTTTTCACTTCTTGTTAGCCGCTGGGTTCATGCTGTATTTCTTTCATGTGCCGGAGACTGAACCCAGCGCAGAAATTGTTGTTACTACATTGAAACCATAGATAAGGTATTTTATTAAGTGGTAATTAAATATATTCATAATCATCTTAAATTTATATTTTAATGAAACACCCAGTTATCTATAGAACTTTATTTTTATCTTAATCAATACAGAATCTATTTGTACAGTTGTATGTTATATAAGTTAATAAATTATATTCTTATAACCTATTATAACTAGTGCATTTACATTTATGCAAAAAAGGCACTTAATACTTTACATTACTAGGACATGACTAGTAGATACTATAGAATCGTACAATTATTTAGACTTTAATATAAAACTAAGCGAAATACTAACTGAATCAATGAAGTGTTGTACTGCTATTTTCGCTTGACACAAGTTTTATATATTGCCGTTTGTTTATATTTTTGTTTTATTGCAGTAATATGAATACAAAACAATATATAATAGTAGTTTATACTATTTTGATATATTGTTGTGATAGCTTTCATGAAGATACAGAATTTAGTTGTACAAATATAATGACTTATTTGTATTTTTTTTAAATAATCGTAAATAATGCGTGGGGCAATTTAAGAATAATAATTCAACATCCATCAGTCAACAATACTGAATGTCTCGAAACTGTCAATCCAAGGTTGTGTAAAGGAAGGTTCCATGTCCTCCGGGGACGACTGGTATGTGCTTGAGATTTCGGACAGCATTGTTGCTAAAAAACAAAAACTTTTACCACTTAAAGTTGACTATTGCTATACCAAATAGGTACAATATATTTTTCATTAAGTTAATAACCTGGACTGATGATAATCAGTCAAACTTATCCATGAGACATAACTTTAACACTAAGTTTTTCATACGATTTTAAAAACGAAAAGGTAACAATTTCTTACCCCTTGTAGTGGAAAACTACACATTAATGTGAAATACTGTCTATAGTTTAGCCGAGTAGTACACATTTAAATAAAACACTTTATCGGTTTAAAACGCGATATATTAGTTAAACTTATTTGAAAATGATTTTTAACCAATATATCGCGTTTTAAACCGTTAGTCTTTTATTTAAATACACATTACTGTGTCTGTCTAAATAATTGGGAGAAAAAAGACTGAGTATAAATATAAAGACAGATAAATACAATTTTCTAGAAGGATAATTTATTTGAGTACTCACTGTAAATCTCACTATGTTTATAAGTGTTGATAACTTCACAGAGCCCAATTAGGTGTCCTTCGTAGTAACTGAGTTGTGACACAAACTCCACATCTCTTACTACACACTGGTATAAGAGTTGTATACCACTCCGACACACACTCATTAGTTCGGTCTGTATATCTGAACTGTCTGAAACACAAATATGTCTCGTTTTTATAAAGCATGACTATTATTGATATAAGCCTCTCCTTCTCGACGATTTTCCATTACAACATCACGACGTCATCAACATGAGAGACCCATTTCTCAATTACGACAGTCGAACAGCTTAAAAACCCGAGTAGTAGACATTACTATCATTAGATTATTAATAATAATATAATTTATACCTTCTCTATTTAATGCATTTGCACAGATCCTGACAGCAAATACAATGACTTGCATTAACACCAGTTGACAGTCACACCTAGAAATATAACATTCCTTTAATATAATTTATACACAAAAGCTTGCATATAAAACGAGTAAAGTCCTAGGCTCGAATTCCAGGATATTATTGAAAAGATGTTAGAGTCAGGTTGGGCACTGGTAATTAAAAGGGACATACAACTGTGTCTGCTCTTTATTTCAAGTACATATTCAACAATATTACCTTCTATCATCCGTTAAGTTTGTTTGAAAACTTGTATATAACAATAATAAATTTCTTCCTACATCCACGGCTTGTGGCACTAAACAATTTAATTCTATACATTTTAAAGCTGTTTCTACTTGTTTCAGTAGAACTTGTATAAGACACGAATCTGAAATACAAAACATTTAATGAAATTCAGGTATCGAACTAAATAACCTTGACTTAGTCTTTACTTTATCATTTAAATAGAAAATTTTAACGGTTTAAAGTGGGAAATATATAGTGGACTTATTTTTAACTATAACCAGATATTGTCTGTAGTTTACGCAGGTAGTAGACATTTAAATAAAACACCGTTCCGGCCTGACGTTTTGGATGCTTTTCAGCAGCCGCGGTCACGGGGACGGTAAAAATAATAGGGGGTAGTTAAAAATAATTTTCAAACAAGCTTAACTAAAATAAATCACGTTTTATTTAAATGTGTACTATTCGCATTAACTACAGACAATACTTTTTTATTAGAAAACAAGTAAAATGAAGTAAAATTGTAAGAAGGTAAGGTAAGTAATAAAATATAATGATATTTTTATAAAATTATATGTTATATAAAAGTATATATGCATTTATTTACAAGAAGTAGATAAAGAGTTAATTAATTAATCTGTTACCTGACTGTTTCTTACGAAAGTTGTAATTTTCAGAAGTTATGTAAAAATTAAGGTTGGCTAGAACATATCAGTGTAATGTTAATTAAGGCCGTGTAAATAAAGTGTAAATCATACCTTTTCTATACAACAGCACACCCTGATCATAGTCCAGCCGCAGATTTCCGATAACTGCACCGGCGCAGAGTTTCAAGTCATTTATTTTATTTAATTCCACCAATACAGGCAGTGCTGCACACGAAACAATCGGTGCTGGTCGCGACTGTATTATACTGCGGACTATGACACACATTTGAGACGAATATGTGTGCGATATTAGCGCTTGGAGGACAAGTAATACAGATTTTAAAAAGCCGCTATATAGAACTCCTGTTGACTGGAAAAGATTTCGTTAAATAAGTTTTCAATTCTGTAGCTTGATAGTTACAGAGACAGGAAGGTTTGAAGGGACAAAGTGAGTCGAAAATCCAATTTATAATATCTATACTTATATATAAAGCTGAAGAGTTTGTATGTTTATATGTTTGAACGTGCAAATCTCAGAAACTACGGGTTCTAATTGAAATTCTTTTTGTGTTGGTTAGAGCGTTTATCGAGAAAGGCCATAGGCTATAAAACATCGCCCTGCGTCTAATACGAACGAAGATAGAGTAAGAAATATGAAAATTATTCATCATTATGGCTTCCGAGGCTTACGCTGCAAAAACGGTTCAAGATACCCAAAAAACATGTGTGATAGAATGATCCCTCTTTAAATTATCTAAAAAAAGTCCACAATGCTATATGTCTATAATCTAAGATTAATTTGCGTAAGTTTATAAAAAAGGGGTTTGCAAAAACGAATTTGGATACCCAAAACTCAACAAACAACAACAACGAACTCGCGACGAAGTTGCTGATTGTTGTCGCGTAGTTTGCTACTTAGGAACATTTCTGTCCCATGCCCCACTAAGACTCTTGACTTTACTTGCTTTACTAAAACTCTTATTGTTGGTAATTGGGAAAATTAAAAAAAAACCACATAATTACTCACCGTAGTATCCAGAATAATACATAATTTCAAATATATGTTGAGAAGTTCATTAATATCACTATCCACGTTATCTTTGTCTTTAAAAAAATCTATATATTTACTATCTTGTAGTAAAATAGAAAATATAGTTGTTAGCCGTCTGGCTAGTATTACTTGTTCTTCTTTAAATAATTCTCTGAAAAAAAAAATCATGTAAGTTTTACAATACTGCAATCAAACAATATTGGTCCCTAATAATAAATATAGTATACATGATGTATAAAATAAGATGAGCTATCGACCTATTAATGATTTGGAAATTCGTTCGACATTGGGAGCCCATAACCCATTGATGATTAGATATATATTGCGATAGTCTGCTTCTAATTTTAATAATATTTATATATTATTTTTATTTATGTGAGGATTTATTTTATTCTGCTTTATTATAAATACCTAAAAAAGTGCGTATGAACATACGTAACATAAGTACGTACCTGGAACTAACTAAATCCTCAAGTTCAATAGGCATGAGGGTAGTTGTAGATTCTATGTACTTTTCGTCCATCTCTTTCTGAAAAGCTGTCGTCAATCGTTGGGCTATCGCACTAACTTCATTATGAACATCATTTAAAGAATCTTTCATTATCTTTGTAATCTAGAAATAAAAACCATAGATTACATATTTTAAATAATCTAAAGTAATAAATAATGTTTCGATAGGCGTCACATTAGGAAATAATGCTAATGTTCGATAAGGAACAATATTTAAGTAATGTTCCTGTTTTTATTATTTTAAATTTTTATAGCTTTTACTTGTTACGTTAGTGTTGTAAGCTATCAGAATAATTCATTTACTTTCTCAAAACTCACAAGTGAAGCTGGTATTTATTTCTTCAATACTTAACGAACGAGATGTGTAGTTGGTAGTGTAGGATCAGAATTCTGTGTTCTGCCAGACCGAAACAATTTATTATTTCCCCGGGTTTCGAACCCGGGATCTTTCGCGTTTATCGCAACAAGTTTAACCATTTTACTTTACAGGCAGTCACATACGTGATTAATACAGTTTTGTAAAGTGAAAGGTTGTGATGCAATTGAGGTTGAGACATTGCTTTGAATGCTACTTTAAAATTGTACATTGCTTCCATCAGGGGGCGTAGCTCAGATGGTAGAGCGCTCGCTTAGCATGCGAGAGGTACCGGGATCGATACCCGGCGCCTCCAAATTTATTTTTGAACTACCCACTTTGCGTCTTTTTGCATACGGACGTAATGTATTATTTAACATATAATTCAAGGATTAGTGTTGTTGAATTTGAAATTGAATTGAAAACTAGACGGTATGTTTTTTTTACATTTAGGCATCTTTTTTTAATACCTTAACACGTTTTATTTTATCTCTAATTATATTAAAAACGAAAACAGTGTCTGTAAATTGTAATAGAAGATTTTATAATAATTTGCTGTTCCAGTTACTTTTTGAAGGGTTTCAAGTAAAATCATGCAAAAGAAGATTTTAACCTACAAACAATAACTGTTACTTGATCTACATTACACTGGCCTAAGGCTTTGCGAATGCTGTAACGCGTTACGCTGTTCGCGACTTCCGATAATTGTAACACACAACTTTAGCAAAAGTAAAAGGTGCGCTGCAAAGTAGTCAAGCGCCCTTGCCTCGGGCGGTAAAAGGTGGGTAGGTTTTCGAAACCGGTTTGTTAAAATCCAAAAGTAAAGATTTATTTCAATACATGTACTACCGGGGGCGTAGCTCAGATGGTAGAGCGCTCGCTTAGCATGCGAGAGGTACCGGGATCGATACCCGGCGCCTCCAAATATTTTTTTAATGATAACATGAAATATGTATTTAAATATATACCAGTAAGTGTATATTTTGCACGTGAAACAACTGTATGATATGATTTAAAACTCGGTATGCTTATTTTGTAATTTATTTTAAAAAATGTGGAATCATTACTTTTTATAATACATATAGCTTACAATAAATAGTTGATCTGACAAATCATTTTTGATGACACAGCACACACACACAACGATATAATAAATCAATATATGTATTTGTATTTTATAATTTTGTTTGTATCATAACAAACCTTTCAAATTACAAAAAAACCTTGTAAAATATTCAAGTAGTGAGTTTATTCCGCTTATTTTTTCATCGGGGGCGTAGCTCAGATGGTAGAGCGCTCGCTTAGCATGCGAGAGGTACCGGGATCGATACCCGGCGCCTCCAGTTTTTTTTATAATACAGTCACCGACAAGTGATATACATATTATTTTTCCCTTTTATTTTTTTTCTACCGAATTACTTTGCCATAAATCAAACCTAGGAGCCACATCATAATTAATATTACGAAACTTTAAAACTTACATTCAAATATGTATCTTTCCCGCACTCTCCAGAAGCTATAAGCATCAAGTCTTCATAAATGCTTGTTATATTAATCTTGTTTTTCTGCTTAATAGCACTGGGGGTAGAAGGTAGTCGATGGAATGTGCTGAAAATTCGACATTTATTCACAGGTGCGTCCAGCCTTTTTAGTTTTTCATTGTATTCTAATAAAGAATTTTGGTCAGATCCTGCCTCCATTATAAGAGGTAGAAATTTTTTTAAAGTTGATATTTCTGTAACAATAATTGTTATTTTAATGATTTAATCGCCACTAACAACGAAACGATAAACACGAATCTAAATATGTCTTAATATTTTCATAAAAGAACGACAACGATGACGAGATAACTCATAAATTAATTTTTTTTAACATATTAGGTAATTTAAGAAGATAGATAACATGAAATTTATTAAACTTATTCTCAATTTATAACTTTTACCGGACGTTTCGTTACCTTTAAATTTGATTAGATGAAACTAATACATTTCACGTTTCAAACCGTTAAAAGTGTTTTATTCAAATGTATCGCGGAAGCAACAGATGTACTATCTGTAAAATTTCGAAAATTATGATACTTATTTAACAATTAATTTTTTGTTAAGTTGAAGTGTAAGTTTTCAGTGTAGGTCGTATTTGCTAATATGATTTGTATCAGCTTATATATATTATTTTTTATTACCTTTTCTTCTAATTTTGTTGAGTTGCAAGAAATGTGCGTGCTTTTCTGTTTGAACACTGCTGCAGATAGTTTTTACTCTTTTCTTTTGACTCATATTGTCTCTCTCTATGTAACTGTTGTGTTTATGACTAAAATTGTATAAAAAGCTGCCGTATAAAAAAATATATAGAGTAAAAGTGTACAATGACTTATATGGAGGGGTTTGGGGGGGGGGGGTGTTAAGTGGCAAGTAAAGGCTGCTGTTCTTTACTTGCTTTAACAAGCCATTTCTTTTCCAAAACTGAAAAAGTTGTAGTACCTTTTACTAATAATGTCTTATATAGTCTTTGACGACCCATTTAAAAAGATTTGAACTTAAAATAACTTGAGCACAGGGTACACTTTGACTTGCCACCACTCTTTCCCTAAGCCAAAAGCTAAACATCAACAACATCTGAATGTGTACTTGTCATACCTGATTGATGTGTCATTTGCTCCCACTGTTACTTGGGTTAATTTAATTTTAGAGGATTCCAACATTTTGCATTTTTCTTTTATACTTATTATTTCCAGGTTCTGAAAAATAACATTTTTATTTATTTATTTTCATTATAAACATATCTAACATTACTAAACAATATCAATTGCAATAGAATTATTAAGTACATAATATTATATAGTGATATTTTTGAATAACATAGTTTATAAATATATAAACACTTTAATGCTTTAAAACGTGAAATACGTTGGTTTAACTTGTTTAGAATTTATTTTTACTATGGCCCGACTTTTGTGATGCTCGGCAACAGTTTTGATCAGGGGGAAATTTTTGCTAGTTTAACTTATACATTTTGTATTTAAATACTACTATTATTACTATACTACTGTACTACACACAAAACTATGCATAGTAATAACATATGGAGGACTGGATATTTCTTAGTTAAATTATTGTAATACAAGTATTACATTGTATGACAAAGAGAAAAGAAAGACAGTTTAGCACCTAAGAATTTCTATTTGTGGAGTGGTATTAAAACAATTTCTTACATCCTATTATTAAAGTGATATTAGTAAGCAAAAATGTAATGTAACAGCAGCCTGACCTTAAAATCCAACTGTGTTCGAAGATCATGTAACTGTTTGTTTGCAGTACCTAATTTTTCCATCCATTCCATTTGGGCTTTCTCTTGAACTTTGATCTTTTCTAATCTTGCGTTATCAACAGACATCTGACATGTTTTTAACTGTGTACGTAATATAGATGCCTCTCCTAAAATATGTCTATAGTGTTATGACTATAAAACCTACACAAGTGCTGTTTGATGTAAATAAAATGTTATATATAATATAGTAATCTAAGGCTTTACAATGAAAATAAGCTAAAGAGAAGTACTACCTTCTTTTGTCACACATTTTTCCAAAAGTTTTCCATTTTCCGACTTTAGTTTAGAATTTTCCTCCTTTAGTTGAAGTAGCTGCTTATAAAATTGGTCAGTATTTTGACCTTTAAGCTCCCTGTCATTAATAATTAAATCATCAGACAAATTCACATGCTCCTTATTATTAATCTTAGATGTAATTCCAGGAAGAGGTGATGATATTCTTTCATATTTGTCCCTTAAATTTGTCGACACAGCGCTATATAAGCTCGAAGTTGGTTTTTTGAAAGAAAACGGTGTTTTGGAAGTACTTGGTACAGAGTCATATTGAGTGCTTGTTGTACCCGGTTGCATACATACGGAGTAGTCGGGTAGGTTACTAATATTTTGTTCGTTATAGATCTCTTCGCATGCTTGACTCGCCAGGAGTAAAATTTCGTCATCATTATCATCACCCCAATTGTCCGAAATATTGTTTGCTGAAATGAATAACGATGAATGACCATGTAAGTTTTATAGTCCTGATACATACAGTCTAGTAAAAGAAACAAAAAAGGGTGAGAAAAATAAACAATATATTGTATGAACGATGTTCAAAATATTTACCCTTGCTTGAACTTGGATTTTGACTGAGAGGAAAGTTGTGATCAGACACAGTCACGTCTAGTTTAGCCTTTTTTCTTTCACCATACTGTTCAGGAAAATATCTCTTTGACATAATAGTATTTAATTCTATAAGAAATATCCCCAAAAATTTACTTTACCGCTGGTGTTTGCCGCTGTTTAGACTACAAAGAACCCACAGAGTGAACAGACAGACCACTACAAATTAGGACAGATGTGAAAATTAACTTGACTAATTCAACCACAGATGTTTGAATACAAATCGATTCAGTCGTTCGGAGTCCAGCATAAACATTAGACTTCCAGTACGACCGGTCGTTCGCTACTTGAATCTAGCGTTTCCCTGCTACCTTGACCAGGCCATCGGTCCACCTAGCAGGAGGTCGTCCAGCTTTTCCACTTCAGATACGTGGTCCCCACTCCAGAACCTTTGATACTAATAATTGTATTGAATTATCCCTGAAAAGATGGTAGTCAGTAAGTTTTACAGTTACAGAGCTCATTAGATTTTATTTTTGTACCTAAAATTGTCTCAATGTAATAAGTTCCCAATCGTGACAATGGTTTTCTTCTTCTTTCGTTGCTCAGTGCTCTACATATCTGGACATTTGTAGTCTATCGTATTGTGTCATAGACACAAAAAAGACGCCGGAAAAGTTTTGGCTCTATATATTTCATGTTGTCGCTGATTTAGTTCGTCGTGGAAAACTGTCGGAAGAGGTTGTGTACAATGACTGAAGGATATAAACTTGGTGATTTAGTTTGGTATGTTGTTGAAATCTTCTTAAAATGTCTATCAACACGGTCCTTCATGTGTAATTTGAAGTTTAAATAATTCAATTTTTTGTTTCAGGGCTAAAATGAAGGGTTTCAGCCCTTGGCCTGGCCGGGTGAGTTTAGTAGTTATGCTATTTTGATCGTAATAATATCTTAAAGTTTTGTGTAATTTGTATAAAGGAATGAAAGATACTCCACTGCACTTACTAAAATGTTTTATTTTTCTTGCAATGCTTTCAACTGTAAGAGCGGGAAATTCTTGTGTACAAAGCTTACGCTGCCAACAATTAGCATATGAAGTAACAAGTAAAATTTTATAAGCCACCGCATAAAAAAATTCTTACTGTTTTTATAACATAAATGTAACTTATCCTCGATCTCGATTCAGCCGTTCAATGTCCACTGCTGGACATAGGCCTCCCCCAATTGTTGTAACTTTCTGACAGCTAGTTAAATAGATAATATTTCTTGTTTCACCTTTAGATATTAGATGTTTAAAAAGAAAACCTTGAAAATGGCCTATTTTGGTTTTCAGGTGTCAATTCCAACTCCAGAACTGAAACCTCCAAAGAAAGGTCTAAGTGTACAATGCATTTATTTCTTCGGAACAAACAACTAGTAAGTATTATTGTATAAAAATACCCTTTAGTCTGTATTTTATGCAAGTAGTACACATCTAAATAAAACAGTTTTATGTTATGTTATGGTTTAAGATGCAGAGTATATTAGTTAACTTATTTTTTTACTTTTAACTATAGTTCATTGCTTATGATCCTTTAAAGCAGTCATACTGAATAAATCAAAATTATTCACTATGACTGTATGTTGAGTGTGTTTATCTGCTGTCTTAAGTATAGAAGCAAAAATTGTTTAGTAGTAGACCTGTTGCACTGTCTGATATGTTTAAGCCCTTAAACTACACAGTTTCATAGTAAACAATTCATGATACATTTTGTGTATAAGTTATCATCATTATTTGGCATTCTTGCTAATGTTTAAGTTTTATTGTTGATGAAGTCTGTGCTATTAATACAATTTTTGTCAATAAACCTGGAACTTTGAAGGGGACACAATACTTGGATAACCCAAGTGGCCTGGCCATCTACTGCCCCCAGTAGATAATAATAAAAACGAGACTTGTATTATTACCCTTGTACAATGTTTTTGAAACTGCAAAGCATTTATACAAAATTAAGCTGACTTAAAATTTAAAGACCCAAATGACTATAGGCTAAAAAATGCTTACCAGCCACACATTAGATGACAATCTTACTATAACAATGTTTATTTATGATCAATAATGAATTCTTCCTTAGTGCCTGGATTGAAGAAAATAATATCAAACCTTATCAAGAGCATAAGGAGCAATTGATGAAGTCGAGCAAGTCATCTGCTTTTAAAGAGGCTCTCACTCAGATAGAAGACTATATTGTCAACCCTGAGGTAAGAGGAGTACAGTGGTGCTGTTTACCTATTATAATTGTTGTATTGATAACCATATTGTTTGTTTAAATACATGTCTCATTAGGATATTCTTCAAGCAAAAGAAGAATTATATTTGATTAATGATTTTATTAAAATTGTAACATTATTAGAACTTTGAATGCATATTATATATATAGAATCAAGACATCCATCAGTATAAGACACTATAACTAAATTTAATAATCTCTTTTTCCCTATATTTTTATATTGCAATAAGTATGGGAAATTCAAATGAATAACTGATGACCTAAAACCTTAGCAGAGGCCAATAAAGTAGATTTCTTTAAAATAGGTATTCTCTTACATAGGACACAGGTAATACATACAATAAAGACATTCTTTGCTCTCTGTGTCCAACTGTAGCTAGAACGTTCACATGTTTATAAGACAGTTATTATTTTTTTTGTTCTGTCAAACAATATCTACTCATACCACTAAACTACTATTGCTTGAAAGACTTAACAAGGTTCTATTACTATACTAATTGCCTTGTTTGTCTAGTGGTTTTAACACTCCACTAAAGTTCACGAGGTTCCCGGATTCGAATCTTGGCTTGGGCTAAATGTTACTCTGTTATCTGGGATATTGCTAAGAAGTGTTTCTGATAAATTTGCTTGGAGCTTACAATTACTTTTAGTGTTATCACTCTCGTCCCTCGAAGGACACATTAGGCCTTTAGTTTTGACTATCACCACTAATTTAGTAGCAGTTAAAGCCTACCAACTGAATCCTTGTGTTCCTAAGAACCTTATGCTGGGGATTTGGGGCAAGGTGTAGAACGAATGTACAGCTTGGTAGGTTGTGTATCGTTTGCTATGATAGCACATTGTGAATATTTAAAATTATAATAAGAAGGATGTTATTTTAGGTTCTCACTGAGTTCTTCATTTTTATAGTTTAGTATTAAGTATAGACTTTGATAAATTTTTTTTTTGAGCTCGGCTACCTAAATTAAACCTAAAACTGACTAAGGTAAAGTCACGGTACTAATTGGGCACTTGTATGACAGAAATGTTATAATTATGTTTTCTAGTTGTAACAAAATACATAATAATAACAAAACATGGGATATATTTAATTATATAAAAAAATATTATAATTTACACTCTTAAACAATTAGCACACACCTCTGGCGCATTAAACGTGTTTTTCTTTGCCTTGCGCGTGATCGATTTTTTAGCTCTCTGTAATTATCACAGATTAAATCATTTACCTTTCATTGCTTAAACTCTTTAATTACAATGCAATCAAAGTAGAGTAAATACTGTCTATAGTTTACGCGAGTAGTACACATTTAAATAAAACACGTTAACGGTTTAAAACGCGATATATTAGTTAAACTTATTTGAAAATGATTTTTAACTTCGGCCCGACGTTTCGGATGCTTTGCTTTGTCTCCCCGTGACCACGGCTGCTGCAAAGCATCCGAAACGTCGGGCCGAAGTTAAAAATCATTTTCAAATAAGTTTAACTAATATATCGCGTTTTAAACCGTTAAAGTGTTTTATTTAAAAGTAGAGTAAGACAAAACTGACTAGTAGATAAAGCCAAATGCTATTTTGAGTCCAGCGAAGACAGCTTGGCTCCAACAGGCGACAAAACACTATCCAACCGCTATCCTTACCTTATATAGATTTGAAACATAGTGCTCAGTAAATAGTTAGCTTAGTATTCGAGTAAATGGGTTAGAATGTTTTTAAGAAGGTTTTATATAGTATAAAATCGGATAGACAAGCATGATATCCACTTGATGAATAGAGAAATGCCCCAGCTATGTCAAAAAGATGCGAGGTTTTAAAATTTATTGACTAAACCTAAAACGAAGACATCACGGACTATCATCACAGATAGAAAAGTCATAAAGTTTGTTTAAATTATATATGTAAAATTTTTGAGTAAATAGAACCGTGAGATGTTAAGCTTATATTGCATGGGACTAGGCATATTTGTTGAGAAAGAACGAAAGTGGTACCTCAATTGATCAGAGCTATAACAAGGAGCGAATCAGAAATCTTTTTAAATTCTTTATTTAAATATTATTATTTAAATTCAATACAGAATAATAGTTCTAAGATGAGAGTGAGTTACAATAATACTTCTTATAGATAGTATGAGGAGATATCATATACATTATTGTCTTTATGAAATCGCTCACCAGAATGAAGTGAAAGAAGTTAAAAATGGCTATTTTACAATTCACTTTGTTTAGACTTTTGATCAGACTTTTGTGTTCCTCCCGACCGAAGTAATTTATCGTTTCCCTGTTAGATAGTCTGATTAGAAACCAATGCATCATAGGCCTAATGCAATGCTATGCAGTATGTATTATAAATATCAAATATTCTCTAGAACTTTGGAGACATCGACGAACACGTGCGAAACTCTGAAGAAGAATTCGACAAGCTAAAGGACGTGCTGCGAAAAGAGAGCACGGAGAGTGCTCCAGTGGAGGAAGCTACGCCTGAAGTGAAGAAAGAGAAAAAGAGCTCTACGCCAAAGGTAATAAAGTCGATATATGTTAAAATTATTGTTACCTACGTTTTAGTCCGGCCCATATTGTACGTCAACTAAATAATATATAATATAATAGATGAGGCTGCTAAAGGCAGAGTAGCCTAATAACAAAAAACATGATTTACAATAAGTAGGAAAATAAAAATGTGCAATTAACTAGGCGAAATTTTACTTATTATACTGTAAGAATTATGTTATCAATTTTCGGTCACGGTGATCTTGTAGATTAACATTGTTAGATTAAATACTGTCTATAGTTTACGCGAGGTTACGTAGTACTTTATTATCCGTGGTCACGGGGAGACCGGAAACGTCAGGCCGAAGTTAAAAATCATTTCCAAATAAGTTTAACTAATATATCGCGTTTTAAACCGTTAAAGTGTTTTATTTAAATAAATTGTTAGATTATAAAAACATGAATACGTCAAGTCATAAAATTGCAGTTAGGCTACTCTTCCTCTAGCGGCCTCATATAACACACCAGTTAGACAAAATGGCGTCCTATCAGCGACAAGTCATCTGCCAACCCGCATTTGGCCAGCTTGGTAGAATTTATAGCCTAAAATGGTGATTGACTATCAAGTAATTGAAGTGTTTTTGAAACATTTTCAAAATAATTATGAATAAACAATACCATGACCATTAAGTACCTTGGTTGCATTGTTATGATGAGCATGAATAGGTATGTCTTGTGCTGTTAAGGTTAAATTTCAGTTTTAAGTTGGAGTTCGAGTTTTTCGATATTTGAGAAAATTTTAAACAGATATACTTAATATATTAAAAGTCCAGTTGCAAATGTGACTCCGAACAAATGCTATTTTTAGCGAAAATAATTTAATAGTAATTTCGCAATTTCAAAACAAAAAGTGTCACTGTTTACTCATTACAAAGTGCAATTTGTTTTGTGTATAAGTAACTGCTATACACAATACAAGCTTAGGGTTCTTGACTAAACTTGATGGAGGCGAAAAACGCCAGTCATATAACATCTACACAAGATGCGCGGTCGACCTATTTTGGCTTTACATATTCGTAAATCAGTTCTATGACCAATTCATGTCTATTCAAGAATATTGTTATAGTAATTGAAAGTTTTCGAACGATAATCGACAGGGGTTTATTAAGCGGAAAATCATAGGAGATTAAACTTAAATTTGTATGTCGTTAAGGTTGAAATTACATTGATATTACGCGACAGGTGCACGTATCAATGCCTCGAAGAAATTCGATGATGACGTGTGAGAAACGGTAGCTGTCAATGCCGGTTCAAGTCCCGCCCTGGTCATTGATCTAAATAGATTTTTTAATATCTGATTAACGACTTTCGGCTTTGTTTGTTACTGATGAATCGGTTTCTGTCAATAATCTAAATTTGGTCGAAAAATATTTACATTTAAATAGAACACTTATCCCAAAATATACTACTTAATTTATTAGCCCCCCTTAGTCCCGTAGTTAAAATACGCGACTAAGGGAATAAATAAATTGGAAATCTGTTTCGTAGTTTAAACCGTTACAAGTGTTTTATTAAAATGCTTAATATTTACATTTGGCCTATGTCATGACCATTTAGACTTAGCGACATATCTAGTGTATCTATATCCAGTGAACATTTATTAATTGGAAATATTTATAGATACGTTTGGGTTCAAAGGTGAAGCCAATCAAACGTTCTTCCTCTACGGGGCTGAAGGGTACCCCTCGCAAGATGGCGAAGAGTTCCCGCTCGTTCACTGACACCGACCTGGCGAATGACAAGCCGTCTATGCTGAACCATTCGTTCTCGAAGAAATCCAGCCTTCTGCAGCGGCCATCCAACATCCTCAGACCTGTAAGTTTATCATTGAGATTAGATCTTACGTATATTTGTATACTAAAAACATATAGGAGAAACTATTTTTTATTACTTATTTTTAACGCTAATCTTCATAACACTTGTGTAAGTAGGTATGTGTATTATATACTCGATGTGAATTGAAAATAATGTCTTTTAAAGATTATATTGTTTTTTGCCAAAGCTAATTTGAAATCAATAGGGGCTTTATTATTAGTTTAAATATTTCTTGAATTTAGAATATGGTATAATAATAATATGTTGATTAATTTCATTACAAAATTAGGAAACTCCTACCCTGGATCTGGAGAATGTATCAGAGACACTTCTGGAGAAGAATATCAAGGCGAGTCAGATGAAGTTTGGTTTCCTGGGGCTTGGTATCATGGGCAGCGGCATAGTGAAGAATCTGCTGAATTCAGGACACAAAGTCTTAGTCTGGAATCGCACGGCTGCTAAGGTAAGTGGTAGCTGTAACTTGAGATTTTGCTTTAGAGACACAGTCGTCACATCAGGCATTGGTTAGGTATGCTGAAAGAGAAACAAAGTATTGAAATAAATTAACTAAGCCTAAGCGTATGTAAAATTAAAAGGGTGTATATAAATGGGAAGGGCCTAAACCCCCCACCCTCCAAAAAAAGTATGAGACTATTGATACGGCGAATCAATCTCATAATTGCAGATCCACTGTAATCTTAATTACAACGTACTTACTTACTTATGACCTTAATAAATCTTGTGCCCTCAAATAATGTGTCCATTGGCTTCTGATCCTTGCAATTCTTGTTTCGTAATTCCATGACAGCCGAGATGGATAGTCATTATGAACATGATTATATTCCATAAGCTTTTCTTTACTTTTTAATTCTCTATTGTATATGTTATCAGTTTGCAAGGCACTTTGAGCGGACTAGAGGATCATAAAGATCTATATTGTTCACACTCTATGGTATAGAATTCTCAAACTTATCGTCATATATTAGCCAAAGCATATATTTGTTTTCAATCAAAAGATTTTGTAGGCGGTTCAACGGCAACTAGATTTCTGTAATAGTCTTTAGTAACACATTTAAAACAGAAAGCGGTCCTTTTGCTTTTATTAACCTCTTCAAAGTTTTTTAAATAATTATTAATTATGTTGGCGCCGGGCCTCCTATAATACTAACCGGACGATGGGACGTTTCGCCATGTTTGCGGATGGATAGACACCGTGTCCCGGGAGGCATCGGCCTCGACTTGCACCACCGCAATGTGGCTTGGATATGTGGACGGATACTTTAAAAGTAATAAATACTCCCATTACTGAACTTCAATTATGGTACTTGAATTATGTATAATATTTACGTGACAACGATATTAGAGTATAGCTTATTGTTAAAATGGTATGAGCGCGTAGTAGTAGCAAAATTTATGTTTACATTATTAAGTCTACATTCGCCTATGTTTGCATAACCCAGAGTCAATTATTTTTGAAGTGAAAACATCTTTTTGCAATCGCGTCAGACCACGACCAATTCAAGAATTCGTAAGAATGAGGGAGGGTAGACCATATAAATTGTCGTTTGTGTACGATAGTGCTATAACTGCATATTGTCTTCTGCCACGAGTATTTTAATACCAGTAATTAAGCAAATCCTCACCTTATGATAATATCAAAAATACACAACGTTAAAATTTAAGTTTTACTTCTTCCGGCACTGCCATAATGCAAACCGTATTTTTTTCAACCTTATGCAATCATTCTTATGTATTTCAAAATAATTTGAACAGTTATTGAGATTCAAAACCACCTTTACCATTATACGTATAGCTTATCCATAGTACATTTGTTTTTAAGGAACGTGCATACGTAAAATATTAAACGTATAAATTTTATCAAACGTAACGTAATCAAAGGTGCCTTAAATTAATAGTGCGACAAGTTTTCATAAAACATCATCGAATACAATATTATCATTTAATTCTTTTTAAAATAAACGAATTACCTAATGTGAGTGTTTTATTTACAGCATAGTGCAATAACGAGAAATATAGGTATTGAAACTATTTTATTTAAGGTATAATTTTTACATTCAATAAAGTAGGGCTTTATGTACGACTTTAGGATAATTTGTTAACGTAAATAGAAAAGTCATTGACCCTAATAACTCGTTAATTGACAATGAGCTACGTTCGTACTCAGAAAGAGATAGTAAAAAATGAAACTAATAAATGTACATTGAAAAATAATTTATTCCTCGTGATCGCTAATTACTCTTGTTTTTATAATATTTAGAAAATGTTCAACAATATTTGTATATTTATATTAAGAAACGTTACAGAATATAATCATTGCTGGTTTGTAGCTTTGGCATATCACTGCAAGACTCGTTACGACGCTGTCGGAAAGTATAATACAATATATAAATAGCAAAGTAGGTATCCGTTAAAGTTGCACATACATACAAAAATGAATGATCTACAAATACATTGGAATGAGATGGACAGATGTAGAAATGAACTCGATGATAGACGATACACCAATTTACAGTCCTCGCAACAATTACAACAATGAAGATAACAACTTCCTTAACTCGCTTTAAACTACGTCTCTTTAAATCGAACGAATACAAAATGCATAATCCTCTAAGAGTTTATCCTAAATACATCAAAATTGAAATAAAAAAAATGATTGAAATGATAATTATTTACAAGATTTCTAAAACCCACAGAACGCTTAAACAAATTTAGTGTCACTACATCGACGAACAGATCATGTAGTTCTCCTTAACCTACAACTAGGAGAAATTGAATTTTCACTAATACTTTAATTCGAATCTAATCTATCACAGCTCACTTAGAAGTACAAGTGGTTCCAATTTCCCGAGTTATACTGACCCCCTACCGACACCGATCACAAACATTCGAACATGTACGACGACACCGGGCGAGATATGTTCGCGGGGAATCAAACGTAGGATGGCGATTCGCCGTAATCACAGAGTTGAATGTCGTCCATGCGACGGCCGGATCGGCCCGTCAACGCGTAGATCTTAAACACACGCGTCAGAAGCCTGTACTACAAGGGTGTGTTCTCGCATAAACCGACACAGTCGCCGCATACCATCTGCCCCGCTGGATGCCGAACTTGACACTCTGGCTTCGTTAGCTCCACCGCTAGTAAAATTTTCGCTTCTTTCGCTGCCGCCTCTCTTTCCGAGTCTCTATTGAGTTCGGGAGAGCTCAAGCTCGTGGGAAAGCTTCGTCTGCAGTCTTCCCTCAAAACGTCCCGTCCTCGGCCCAGCAACGGCTCGCTAGAAGGCTTCGACTCTTCTTTATATTTCGATCTGACCGGTGTTAATGTCTTGGAAGTTGTGGGACTCGACAAGTCCAGCGTAGTGAAGGACTCGAGTGTGGGCGGCGGCGCCGGCTGTAATGGTCTGATCATCGCCAATAGTCTCGGAGGTGGACCTCTTTCGATCATGTTAATGTGGATTCCGTCCGGTACGAGGACGGGGGAATTACGGCGCGAGTTGACAGATCTCTCTGTCGGCGTGTAGTATACGGACATTTTGCTGTCGTCGTCTATCGGATTTGGGAGGCTCGAGAGCTTTTCTAACTTTGATTTCAAGTACATATCGATGGTTTCAACGTCGGGGTCGAACGCCATGGAATCGCTTCGACCGCAGGAACCGCTCCGGCAATTTTCAAAGTAGAGACTGGGCAAGTTTTCGAGCACTTTGTTTAGCGTCTGCTGTTGATATTTGTACGACTCCCGAAGTCGTAGTATTTGATGTGCGCTAAACTTCCTTATCTTATTTCGTTGAAAAACGTAGTTTTCTATAACCCAGTTCAATTGCGACGTGGAGTACTCTCTGACGCGTTTCACCTGTATAAACAAAATATGTATTTATTTTGTGAAACTCTCTCGCATCTAAAATTGTTCAATGAATTTTCCGTTAACATTTCACTTGCACTTTAACATTATAAATAACTTACCTGATCGTGATACTGGTCTTTCATGGCAGTTATGTGATTGGAACCGATGTCTCGTATATTGCGGAGATGGTTGGCTTGCGAAGTATAACTGCTCTGAATCCACTCCATTTGCTGGGTGCAGTTCTCTTTTATGCGATGAACCTGCGAATATAATCATTCACCGATTAGCACCATTTATAGTTAAGATTATTTGTATATATTTTTATAATTACCTGAACTGCGTAATTTTCTCGTAGTTTCTCTAATTGTTGTCGTTTGTATTGTTCAATGTTGTCTAACATGTTATAGATTTGTCGCGTTCGAGGGGCATCTCTGTTGACACAAGTACAACAACTGCAGCATGTCTCTAACAAGCGGAACCTGCAATATAAAAATAACGTTTATAACACAGTCGATTAAGATTTAAATAATGTACTCATGCATCACTACTGACCTGTAGAAAATATAACGCAGGGCTTGGACTAACAGGGTAAGGCCAAGAAAACTTGCCGCACAGATTGCCCCACATAGTAAACTGTACATCTTGATTTCGAACATTGTCATTGGGTCTATGTTGAGGACGACCTCAGCCGTGACGTTAGCCGACGGATTTGATGCATAACATGTATAAATTCCACTGTCCTCCCTATGTATGCCCATAATAGTTAGAGCGCCGTCCTCTCGCACTCTCACTCTTGACGTAGTGTAGTCAATCGGATTGTAGTTTTGGTCGTGGGCGACTCCGTGTTTGTAATAAATATCAGGTATAGATAGATCAGGATTCCAGTGGAATACATGACGTGTCGGAGTCACCCAAGTGATGGAGGGCATCGGGTTCCCTTCGTATTTGCATTCCAATATAGCGTTCGACTGCAGTCTATAAAGGGTCAAAGGGCTGCTGCTTATGAGGTGGGGTGCTTTGCAATCTGTACTATTTAAGATTGATAACATCTCATTAGGATATGTGAGCCCACAGCTCAAATCCGATTTAATCGCACTTTTCCTTGGAACGGCCCAAGACACAAACCATGCCATTCGACAGTCGCACGCCCACGGATTACCTCCTATCCACAGTTCTTCTAATTGATCCAACGTCTTCAACGTAAGGGGCAAAAACGTCAGTGAATTATTGCTTATATCCAGGCGTTTCAGAGAAGGTGTATCTTGAAATACGTATGATTCAATTTCACGCAAATACGGGTTGTATCGAATATAGAGTTCCTCCAATTTGTTTAATCCTTTAAAATTTGTATTTTGTATTTCCGTTATTTCCGTGTGTTCGAGGTAGATAGTTTTCAAATTTGTATTATACTGGAAGAGCGTCGGCGGTAGCAGTCTCAGTCTGTTTCCTCCCATATTAATTGATCTTAATTTTTCGAGAGTTTTAAAAGCATCCTGTGATATGTTTAAGAACTTATTGTAGCTCAGATTTAGCTCTCTGAGTTCTGGTAAGGCGTCGAATAAAAACTTCGGGAAATTATCTAAATTGTTGCTAGAGATATCGAGCACTTCCAATTCCTTCAAATCGACTAGAGCTTTAGACGTAATTTTGACTAGGCTATTATTATTTAGGAACAGTGTTTTCAGTTGTCGATTAAGTTTAAAATAGTAATCTAAGAAAGTAGCTATTTTATTGTAAGATATATCGAGATAGTGCAATCTGGTCATCACCCCGAAGGCCTGAAACGGGATGACCCGAATCTGATTGTGGGATACATCTAAAACTTCTAAGTTTTCTAAGCCTATAAACGGATTTCTAGGTATGTCTTCGATTTGGTTCCTGGATATATTCAAATGTTTCAATCGGTTCAGTTTCGCGAATAGCCCGTGTTCAGTCCTTTTGATTTCGTTTCTACTTAAGTCGATGTACTCGAGGTTATGTAGCCCGTTGAAGAGGTCCGCTTCTAGCGTACTCAAATTGGAATCCGTCCAGATGATCTCCTGTAGGGCGAGTCCATATTTGGCCAAAACTGCGCGCGACAATGTATTATTTGTCAGGGTGGCGCCCGAGCACGTCAGGCGGGTTTTCGTGCAATTGCAAGTAGAAGGGCAGAGGATCCCCTCTGCTGCCGCGCAAATTATTGCCAGCGCCAATATTTTGTGCAGCCACCGCATTATTTTACAGCCCTCATAGTCAATTGACTGAAACAATAGTACTCCTTAATTAATTAATCACTGGGGCAAATACCATCCGTTTCCAAAAAATATCATTATAAATGGAAAGTTCCATTGAAGTCTAAATTATAGTTAAGTACCTCTAAGCATTTTAAATACATGCAATATTTAATGATATATAAATTATTAGGGATATAACTCTTTAAATATCATTTATTATATTTATAAAATAGATTAACATTAAGATAAATTTTTAGAATGATAATGTATGATTTAGAATGATAATAATTATATGTCTGTCTTTTTGCTCCTTTAAAATCGAATTTGAAAACCACATTTCTAACTTCTAATATTTATATGTTATGTATAAATTTGCTTTTATTTCTGGTCTTAAATATTATGTCAAAAAAGTGGAGGAGGCATTTATTTTATGTTATGAGACAGATTGTATCTAGAAGTATCTATTTCATCATAGACCTTTAAATAAGGTCTGAACAATGACTAAAAAGGAGGATTTATTTTGTATAAGTATGGTTTTACCGCAGTGCCAAATTTTCATAACTTTAAGTCTAAGCGTGTTTGTTGTAGTAAATGTGTTTATTGCTTAATTTATGTGTTGTGTTACTTATGCAAAGTTTTTGAAGTTAATAATAATGTGGGTTTTTCCACTAAAGATTCAAATTTCAGTTAAGTCTTAACTAGACTAAATATATTAGTTTACTCTAGTTAGGTAGCATCATAATTACTATGCCTATATAGCTTTTATTGCTAGAAAATAGCTAGTTAAGCTAGCTAAGTTAATCTTCAACATATGTATATAAATCCAATGTATAAACTAAAATGACTGTTTTTTCTATAGCTCATGTCTGTTATCAGTGCCAATGTGTTAATTATCCTATCAAGGTAATGTTTTAATTGTCTTTGTTTCATTTCGTAGTTAATTCGGAATTACAACAAGTGTGTACGAACATTGCGACTACTCATTACGTTCACTGCTTACCTTTCAAACACAGCCGAGCATATAGCCTTGCAAACTTAAGAAATAGATCATCACAATATCACAGTGCATCCAATATAGTTAAATCACCTACATTTACCTAATAAACGTTCACATTTCATTCCAACTTGCATAATCCACGTTTTTTGTTGACAGATGTGGAAACGAAAGACATACTTCCGCTAAATACGTCTCATGTTCGTGTTTCTCACACGCCTAATTCCATGGCAAATGATTATAAAACACTCACTACGAACACTGCGTCGTTTATGAGAAATTTAATACATAATTTTCACATAAAAAATTATCATTTGCGTTAAATAGTTGACGCTGTCAGTGCGACCGTGATGAACACTGGAAAGGAATAAATGGCGGCGAAAGTGTAGTGCGCGGTTCGCTGTCCCTTTTGCGCGTGTGCCGCTCGACGTGTTTTGTCCCCGTCCCACATTGGCTCGGTCAGCTGTGGGGAGCGAAGTCGGCCGACGTTAGCCGAAGGCGGTCGAGTGCGGTCGGGGAGCGCGGCGTGTGTCCGTACTCTGTACGTCTGTCGCTTCGTTTTCATTGTGTGGCGTTTTTCTTGCCGGGAATGCTGAGAAATGTTAACTATTTATAGGCCGAGTTCACATGCACCGGGCAGGTACTTACGTTACCGGTTCAATTTGCTTCAATTTTTTATTTTTTGTGAGACTTGGTTTTGTTCAGTAGATGACAATAAAAGTCTTTAGAAATGAAGAGATATACCTACGTAATTGTCCGCATTAACGCTTACAGAATCAAATTTATTACCTACGCCCTATACTACATTTTTGAGTGAAGGTAATAAACGCTAAGTTAGTAATAACAATCATATATCAATTACATACTGTGCGTTTACGTGTCCATACTCGCAGTTCATCTAATAGCTTTAATAAACTAATACCATACACGTAGGTAATCTGAACAGTATTATTTCATGACAAGTATCTAGAATATACCTACGTACCCACGTACCTAAAGCTAGGTCTAATTATTTTAACTGAAAACGTAATACTTTGTTAAATCGATAAACTATCTCCAAATGCATTTACTGATAAAGTTATCGATCACGTTAGCTTGCGACCTTCACAGAGTATCTCTGTAAAAAGAATCATATCTTGTTGTGTATATTATGTATGGTTTTCTAACTAAAAAAAATAAGTTATTCGTTTTCTGTGTGACGTTCGTAACAAAGACAATTAGTTGAAATTTTCACAGTTTGTCTCCTGTTATTGCTGTATTAAGGAAATTAAATCAAAATTTAAGATGGGCTCCTCGTATGGACGATAAATGCAATTTTATACCGTTTCTTGCTTAACATCAATTATGGTATTATAAACAACTCAATTGTATTGAAATTTTCTTATACATACATCAAAATAAAAGCACTTTTCGTCTGTTTTGAGTTAACAAAAATGCTAACACGTAGGTACTTGACAAAATGAACAATATGATATGTATGTACTTAATCATTGTTACGGAACCCTTCTTATCCGACTCGCACTTGGTCATTTTATATACAACGTCCTACAACATGTACTGTAGCTGTGCCGTTAAAATCAAGTATTTTGGATTAACTTATCTTATCACACCTCCTTTTGTACGCATCCAAGGCGTGATAAATCTATTCCTATCTAGATTAAAATACTTATCTAGTCTTCATAAAAATGAACCTACATTTAAGGAAAAACATCGAAACAAAAAACTGTAAATATGTTTTTATTTTGATTAATGATTGCGCAATTGCGTTGACATTGATGTCTATTATTAATAATCTTGAGTGTTTACGTTCATTTAATTCTTTTGATATATTCACTGATGGATATTAGTTGTTTGGACTTGTGTATCGAAACTGCGCAATTTTTTGAATTGGAATCACTTGGCTTGTAGTCCTTGAGGGAAAGAAATCTCTAAATATAGTAGGTATTTTACAAAGGGAAATGTGCTTAATCAGTATTGTGAGCTTAGCACTAGTAAGTCTCGAAACGAGTTGGAGGTATTCAATTATATTTCTACAAAGTCACCCGCCAGCGTTGTTCAAAAATAAAGAAACTATTCTGGTCCTATAGCAGTTGGTGGTAGAACGTCGCCAAATGTCCATTCTATTTCAATGCGACGTATGGTAGCCTAATCTCCGAATCGTGACGACGCAAAATTATAACCATATTTAAATAAAATCTACTGCGTATTATTATCCGACTATTAAGTTATTAACGATCGAGTTTAATGCAAATAGAACCAACGGTATGAATAAAATAATCCTGCGTTTACTTTATGTACATAAATATGACTAAACTTCAGTTGTATACTACTCTAAGGTCAGTAAAGTTTTTGTATAGAATCACCATTTTTAGAATTTATACTTTAAAAAATACCAAAAAGGCTAAACGATGGTATTTAGGTTTTTATTTTATGCAAGACATTGTCATTTCATTTATTCGTATCATTTATGCGAAAGATAATTAGTTTTTTTTTGGCCAAATTTAAACCAACTGTTGCGTTGTGTATGTGATTGTTAATTGAGAATCCAAAAACTATTTGAAACGACTTTTAGCTTATGTAATTCTCTTTAAATTGTTTATATAGAAAACTAAATGGCACGAACCAATAACGAAATTGCGTGTGTGAATAACATAGAAAGAGATAGTAATGGAATTGGATTAAGCTATTGTATCCGTGGAAGTAGACAGTTGCCCAAGGACAACCACTTGGGCAATCGACTCTTAACTAGGTCTGTGGGTGTTCGCGAAATGCCGCACTAACACTTTGTGTGACGTCATCTATTCGTAATTTAAAACAATATGTATTAGATTCAAAAAAATATTCTCACTAACTAATTACTTGGATTTTTTATTTATTACTACTATTTATTGAATATGATTAGCTATTTAATAAAGTATTGGCTTAAGTAACTATGTTCTAATATATATTTAAATATAATTATTTTTACAATAAAGAATCAAACATTTTAGGAACGACTGTTGATACATTTACTTTCTTTTCATAGATTATTTACTGTACTGTGATATCCTCTCGTGCTAAAGTCAAGTCTACGCATATGCAACGCGTTTAACGTTGACCTGCCGAGGTGATATATTAGGCAGGACGCCAGGACCTATGCATTGTTTTTTTCCGATACATTTATGCGTGATAAATAACGAATAGTAGCATAATATTCTACTTTCGCTTTAGAAAAATTCCCAATATTCTATAACTAATATATTATTATGCACTTCCTACGTCAAGGTGTTATGTCTACTAAAGCTACTCTAATTCATGAGAGGCCGCCTGCCAACTAATAAACAAAAATTAACCAAAGAGTACATAACCATGCTAGCAGAATTAGGTCCCTGAAAATGCTTTGAAATATACTTGCGAGCGATGCCGAATGTTGGAGCGAGCTATTGAGTTGTTGTTTGAGTTGCGGGGTTGTCTGCGGTCACGGAAAACGGCAGACAGCACAATATAATTGAATTGCAATTTATTTGCGGACGCGATATCGCTACCACGCCTACCATTAGTTTGATTCCACAGTAAACATTTAACTTATTAGATAAACAATGGCTTTCTTTTTCTTAATATTGTTTATTACGATGAAGGTACCTGTTTATTTTTCTTGCATATTTTGTTTTTTTTCTGCTGTGGTCGTTCGTGAGCCGAAATGAATGAAATTCAGCGTTTACATCCGAATTATTAAGACGAAGTTTAACTTTATTAAGAATGGTCTTACGGTCTCAATTGGTTAGACGCGGCACGGAAAGTATTGGGCACCGCCGCGCTGGTGCAATTCTCGCCTTTGTGTTAATTATTTTTATCTCATTAGATTTCAAATTTATGTTTTTGGAAATTATTAGAAACATGTTAGACCTTTCGGATTCGAACCGACGACCCGTTATTTATGAATAATTTTTTCCTTTGCATTAAAATTTTGTTCGTTATAAAAAAGTCGGAAAACCCATATAAGGTGTTATTTAATATTTCAATTTGATGAATACGTTTTGTAGTTTATACTATTTTTAGTTTCTTGTCATAGTACTAGCGTAGATGGCCTTGCGACTTCGTAAGAATAGTGCGTAGTTTTATGAATCAATAAAGGTTGAATCTACTAAACTAGGAACTTACATATCGTATTATCTAAAAATAGTTCTATTCATACTGCGAAATTCTAAGCACGACGCCGTTGTATTTTTACCTGACTTTTTTGTGTTTCACAAGGTGGGGAAGCCATTGATGGCGACCAGGTCACGTGCGAACGATTTTAGCGATCTTGTCCTTGCTTTGAACGGCTTCTTGAAGATTAACTGTTATTATTAATTTAGAGATATTTGTAGAGTATCGTTTTAATTAATAGCCATGGTAAATTGTCTGACATGGTATTGGTCTATTTGTCATATAAACACGATGTAAATGTACTCAGCCAAGCAGCCATACATGGCTTGGTGTGACTTCCTCGTGTGACGTATTTATTTATTCAAAGCGGCCTTATTGCTTACAAACTGGTTCTTTCGAGTAATCGAGAGTGGAATGTAAGAAAATTTTGAGAAAAAGATATTTAGAAGATAGGCGAAATAAATTACATTAAAAAAGTTATTCAAACTTATTAACACAAATTCCATAACTTATATAAACACATATAATATAAACGCGAAGTATGATGGTCACGGAAAGATCACGGCTGCTGTACAGCATCCGAAATGTCGTAGTAAAAAATAGTTTATAAACAATGGTTAAAGGTTAACTGTTATTTATCTTGAAAAGGCAAGAATACATAGACATTCGTCGCATTACTAAGTCATCAATGGACACAAAATGTATACTAAATAGCCTTTTTAAAGATAGGAAAGGAGGTCTTGCGCAATTAGATTTAATTAACTGCTTAGACGTATTGTACTGAAACATAATACAGAACCTCAAAAGGATATTTTTGTTTTGATCAATAAAAATGAGACTTCGCTTTACTTTATCTACGTCTTACTATAATTACCCTTTAATAGAAACACTAACGGTTTAAAACGCGATATATTTTAGTTAAACTTGTTTGAAAATTATTATTAACTACGCCCCGACGTTTCGGATGCTTTGCAGCAGCCGTGGTCCCCGGGATCATGGCTTCTGCAAAGCATCAGTGTTTTAAACCGTTAAAGAGCTTTATTTAAATGTGTACCACTCGCGTACAGAAACTATAGAATTAACCTTTTCAATATTTCGCAAATCCTCTTTATATGATCCACTGTTTTAAATTTAACTATTTATTACGTGTTCTGGTGTTCAGTGACACAGATATAGCGTATGATCTACTTGCCGGTTACAAAATTCTTGTGTACGAAGTATGAATGTTATCATAACCTCATTATCGTTGACGTTTGCCTTTTGAAACGTATCTAAAAAGGATGTGCAAAGTGGTCAAAATAGCACAGTTTTAGGCAATCTCATTTCGAAATCTTGTTTACATTTAAAGCGTTTTGCGAGATAAGAATTTGTACTCAGAAATGACGATAAGACTCTATATTCATACAACTGTTACTTGGTTGTATTTTATTAACCTAA